CAAAGCAGTTTGAAACAGTGGATATGACATCGACCTGCTTGCTTTAAAACAAACCACCCGCCAAGGCCCATGTGACTTTTCAGTGGCTCTAGCCATTTCTCCCCGCCGCCCCATCTGCAGGTAGCTGTGATAGCTCACTTGGCAAAGCCCGTCCTTTTCCTTCCCTACTTCTGTCTCAGCAGAGTGGCAACTGGGGGAGAGGGGTTAGTTTGAGGTTTTTCATTTTAAAGGCAGCTGAGGTTTTTACAAAAAAAAAAAAAAAAAAAAAAAGAAAAAAAAAAGCTATATCTTTGTTTATAGCAGAACTTTTATATGTTCTCTCATTTTCCCCCCTTCTTTCTGCCTCTCTCATTCCTTCCAGAAAAGAATTCTCTTCAACAGAAATGTTCTGACAGAACCTTGCTTAGTTTTATATATGGTTCTGTGCTACTTGGAGAATCACAACTCTTCTAACCTGGGTTGGTTTGAGTGTATGTTTTCCCACATGATTTAGCCTTTCAGGTTACTCAATTAAGAGAAATACAGGACAGTTAAGGCGTTCATTTTTCAGTATTGTTCTAAGCTAGAAGCAGTGCTTGCATTAGAAGTAAATGTGTACTAAAGGTATATTGTAAATCAGTGCATTAATCTTGAAACTTGCACCACTTTAATTGTAGCTTTGGGGTGCCTTGTGCACAACAAAATGTGGCATTTTCGTTTTAAGAAAAAAAAAAAAAATCACCGAATTTCTGTTGCAAGCTCATCTGGATCTAGTTTTGTTGTGGGTTTGGGATTTTTTTTTAGTGACTGTAAACATGCAGCAAAATGTAAATCATAGATTTACAAACTGTAAACTCTGTTAAGAAGAAATCTCCTCGCCTCACATGGGTCAGAAGAGTTGGCTAGAGCCAACGGGTCTGTATGGACTACTTTTTGTAGTTGTGATGCTCTCTTATGCTCCCTACCTTGGCCGCTCTCATTCTTCCTGTCTCCTGAGACTAGTTCTGTATCGTGTTCCTCCCTTGGGGCTGCTCTCCTAAGCTTTGCTCTTCTCCTTTTTCCCAAGGTCTTGTTTCTGCTCCTCTTTCGAACTTGCAGCCTCTTGTAAAACTTGCATTGAATCACATCACTAAGGGAGCTCCCTTGCAAAAGCAGCTCCTGTTTTTCTGGTGTTGGAAGCACGTGGTCACAGAGGCAATTTGGAATCATCCTTTTGTTCTCCTGTCTCAAATGAACAGCAAAAGGTCTTTCCTTTTGGTGCAGCTGCATATAGTGCATATACAGCCTTGCCACCTTATGCTTTCTTAGCAGTATTTGATGCTATATGAAAATCCCAAGGGGAGGGGGCTGGGGTTTATTTCTTGGGTTGGTTGGTTTCGGCGGGTGCCTGTGCCTGTCTGTGTGTGTAGACTTTTAGGATGGACTTAAAAGTTCCTGAAAGTGCTTGTAGTCCTTCAGTTGAAAGTAGTCAGCTGCAAGTAAACTCCAGTACTTTCAGCTAACTTGGTTTGTGTCGTTTAACTCCTTCAAAATGTCAAGTGGGCTGGTCACGCCGGAATGAGGGAAGGAAAACTTCATTTCTGCAGTAGATGATAGCTTGCTAATTGTCTGTCCCATCTGCCCCTGCTAGATGGCAGCAAGTCATTTGTTGGTGGTTCCAAAGAAGATATTTTGAACAAAGAATGTATTTGGGAAAGGATCTGAAAGGTGTTTTTGTTTCTTTGTTTGCCTTTTTTTTTTTTTTCTCCTTTCTGGGAAAGATTATTCTTCATAACTTTTAGAGATGCATTTGAAGTTTTAAGCTAGGTATAAATCAGAATGTTTATACAATAGCTTTAAAAAGAGCTTAGAAACCTAAACTAACTTAGACATAGTAATGTCCCCTCTCCACAGGTGTCCCCACTGCGCATGGCAGAGAATCGGAAGGGAAAGGGATAGGATGGTACTTTTAGGAAAAATAAAAGCTCTTCCCCCCATTCCCCTCCTCTCTTGTTTTGTCGATTTTTAACTTCAGAGCAGGGTGTGCCAGTATCTCTCTAGCATCCTCCAAAGTACCGGGTTTAACATTTAGCAACAAGTATTCCCCCAGCTTTCAGACATCTCCCAGACCAGCCTCTTCATCTGCTAGGCCTGCTCCCAGGATTTTCCAAAGATTGCTCCATCAGTAAGTCATCCACACTCTTTCTTCCTTGGAATATCATGAACAACAGGTCTTTTTTCTTTATGTCACCCTTCTGCCCAGCTGGCCCTAGCTAATATTAGCCCAGGTTCTAACTGTAGTGGCTACAGAGACTTTTTCCAAGCCTCCCTCTTCTCATCTCTTCCCTACCTCTAGACACACTACTTAAGCTTTACAAGGACACTAACCTCTTTTCTCCCACCTGTATGACTTGGTATTGGTCTTAACGTGTTGGAGAGAACAGGTTATTGCTGAATACAAGATGTTGCAGTCCCTCTGGTGTAAATGCCATCAGAACTACATTTCTTCCTGTTGAAAAAGGTCATCCTTCTTTCTCTTTTATCTCCTCCATTTCTTCCCCTAACAGAATAAAACACTAGAATTTATTTATACGTATTTGATGTTGTAGGTCTAGGTGAAAAAGTAATTGTTTCACTGCTCTATTTATATATTATGTCTGAATTATTCTGTGCAGGAAAGGCCAAGAAATGCATGTGTGAGCTTCATTCCATTCCTCACCTTTGCGTGACTGTCAGCTGCAGTTGGCAAGACTCCCTTTCACTTTATGGAGTTTTGTGTGATGGAAGGCAGTTTTAGAGCCCGAATTTCTAAGGTGCAATATCCTTCTTTAGCTTATGCTTTTGTTTGTTTAAAGCTAACTCAAGGTTAGTGCAGTTTGTGGTGCTCTTCATTCTAAAGGAAAGTTTCTGGTTCCTAAAGATGCAAAAATGTGCTGGTAGGTAGATAAATTCTGCTTGGGGGGAGGAAGAGGGTGAAGATGTACAGAACGTGGGTGTGATTTATAGGGGTTACTTCTCCTTGCCATCTCCACTGCTGAAGGGTAGCACCCCAGTGATTTTTTCCCTCGCTGCTATTCGTTTTGGTTTGGCTTGAAATGAGCTACCAGGTAGCAGGCTGCTCCTGCTAGGAAAGATGCAGTGCGTAGTGGGAGGGAGAAGTGGAATCCACACTTTCAGCAACAGTGGGTGAAGCAGAAATACTCAGAGGCTGACTCTGCTGCTCCTTGCTTAGACTGTTCAGCTGAAGGTCTGAAGCACATAGGGAGCTGGTTTTGTTACACAGTGATCACAGTCTTGCAGCTGCGTTCAGTGCTGCTTTCCGCTTCAGCCTGCTTTGGCCCTTAATTTCAAAAACACAACCTTGAGGTTAAGGAATAAAAAGAGGAAAAAAAATCCGTATTTTTTTGCAGGCTGCAGTATATTTTTAAATGACAAGCGGAAGCAGCACAGTCACTAGTGAAACAGGTATTTTTGATCTTTCGTAAGTCACTCCAGGCTCTGCCATGTGACATCTCTACCGTCAGTAACTCTGAATGTGGTCGCACCCATTGGACTCCATGCGTGTTTGTGTTCATGCAGAGAGGCGCTCTCTTGAACCATTTCCTTGCAAGAATGCTTCAAAGCTACAAGCTGCCCTGTGGTTCCCGTGTATTTATGGATATATAGTAAAAAAGGAGCTTAGCACTTCGGCTATGTCTCACCTTTCGGCAGGCTACCCCATCCACTACCAAGTGAGCACCACCGCATGCTATGCTCTGTTCTGTTCCATTTCCCTAACCACATCTTTTGCTTCTGACTGGCTAAACACAGGTGAACTCTTTGAAGCAAGGGTTATTTTTTGATATACAACAGCCCAGTTTCCACGTGAGAAAGATTGCCTTGCAAGGATTAATTGACAACTGGCATCAGATTATCCCGAGCTGCAGCCCATCAATGAGCAATGAGGGTCTTGCAAAAGCAGCGGGACTATTCCAGCTCTTTTATTTTACGTTTCTCGTTTTAATCCAAAGACCACCAGGCTTTGCTGGTGGCCACGACCACCCTTGTGGCTTCGGTGGGTTCCTCGGACCTCTGCAGCCATAACCTCGACCCGTAGCCCTGGGAATCGCAGCAGCAGTAATGAGGCACTTCCCTCCTCCGCATGTCTCCCGGCGTTGTCCTAGCTGGAATTCTCCTTCCCGTTCTGTATAAATTGCATTTGTTGTTTCTCAAGGGGATATTGTACTCCTTAAAGCTTTTAACCTCATGAACCTGTATAGTATTTTTTTTTTTTTTTGGCCTTTCCTCTCTTTGTCTTTCCATGTAGACCAGATATTTGAAAGGGCAGACGATGGATAATTGTGTAACGTGCAAAACCTGTTTATATTTTTTGGAAACTTTTACTTGGACCGGAACTCGAATCATGGAATCACCAGGCCAGTTGCGGCACACTTTATTGCCCTTTTTTTCCTCGTTTCAGTACCTATTGTTTCTCCTTTCAAATATGTGATTGTATTAGCTCTTTCCATATGAAAGAATTCTCCTTATTTAAATAAAAAAGTTTAAAAAAATAAAGCAGATTATGCTTTTCTCAAAAAAAAAAAAAAAAAAAAAAAAAGCTCTGTCGTTTCGTTTTGTTTTGTTTTGTTTTCTTTTGATTAAATGGTTGTAAAAAGAAGCTCCCCCTGCTGGGGACTGGGGCCTCCTGGGGCCTGCAGTGATGGCGGCGCCCGCCATGGCGGCTTTTTTCCCTCCCGTGGGGTTGCCCTAGCAACAAGGGTCGCTTCCTTTAAGAGGCCACGTGCGTTTGATGTCACATCCGGCGTCGCCGGGGCGGGCGGGAGCGGGTCGGGGGTGACGGCGGCGCGGGGGGGAACAGGGGACGGGGCCGCCGCCATCTCGGTGCCGCCATCTCCTGGGTGCCGCTGCCGCCCCGAGGGGCCCGGGGGGCGGCTGGGCCAGCTCCGTGAGGCTCCAGGGAGGGCGGCGGTTCTCGTGCCCGCCCCTATAGCGCTTAAGGCAGCGGGGGAGACCCGGGGAGGGGGCTAGGGGCCCCATTGCTCACCCCTAAAGCGGAGCACGAGGCCTGGAGCCGGGCAGAGCGGTCCAGGCGCCCCCAGAAAGGCTTAATAGGGGCTGTGAGAGCCTCGGGGGAGGATCCTCCCAGTGCCCCTCACAGCGCTCGACGGTGGGGAGGGATGTGAGGCCAAATCGAGGCCCTTCATACCCCCATAAAGCTCCAGGGGAAGGTGCGAGGGGTCCTGCTGACCCCCGGCGGGCTGGAGAGAGGTACATGGTTTGGGGGGGGTCCTGCTGCAGGGGTGGGGAGTGCGGAGCCATTTTGTGGCAGGGGGGCTCTTGCAGAGGGCGATTCCACAGGGCAGGACTCGTGTTTGGCAGGTGGGCAGCGACACGCACCCCTCGTGCTCGCCTCGTCCGAGCCATGCGGGAGGGTTTGTCCCGGTAGCTCCCAGGTGTGCTGAGGTGAGGAGGCACCATCTCGGTATGAGAATATTTGTGGGTTTCTCCTGGCCTCCCAAAAAAGGCTCCGTTTACAGGAATATAGCTAAATAAAAAGCCATAATGGCAGCTGAGCAGCTGGCTTGTCTACCATTAGCACCACGGTATGGCCTGGGAGGTTTGCATAGCACACAGCAGTAGAATATGATCTCGAATTGAGCTATATGGGGGGAGAATTTAATATATATATATTTAAAAAAAAAACATAAAATAACTTGGTGATTTTTCACAGAGTTACTACCATCTATGCAGTATAAAACATATTTTTATAAGCCAAGAAACCATGTCAGGGTACCTTGACTTACCAAAAGCAGTGCTGCATTTCTTTCTGTCAGGTGTTCTTCAGATAGCAAAGGGGTAACTACTGTTTTATTTTTCTTACTATTCTCAAAGGTTTGAACAGACCTTGGACAGGATGTTGGGATTTCTGAAGAATCCAGTTGTGGTCACAGCGGAGATAAACATGAACCTCTTGGCATTGACGGTGCTGGCATTAATAAGCCGTCTTCGGGGGCTTTCCTATCCCCGGGCTGTGGTGTGAGTAAACTGTTTTACTTCCCACTTGATCCACAGAATCCTTTTCTTAAAACACGTGTGAGCGGGAATGGAGCAGAGCAGAGCTCGCCTGGTGACAGACCCAGGAAGAGTGTTTCCCTATCAGAAAATCAAGGCGGAGGGGCAAGGGAATGAAGTGCTTCTCTTTGCTTTCTTGTATTCTTAACCTTCTGCCAACAAACCAGGGGCTCCTTGTATCCCTGTATCTTGCCAGGTGCTTCCAGTGAGACTTGACGTGTTTTTGTCTCTTCTGTTCCAGTTTTGATGAGGTTTATTATGGCCAGTTCGTTTCCCTCTACATGAAGAGAATCTTCTTCGTGGATGACAGTGGCCCCCCTTTTGGCCACATGCTGCTGGCTTTGGGAGGTAGGGCATGTCTTGCTAGATTGGGAAGTGTCTGTTTTCAGTTGCTGTGGAAGAGGGACTGAAGGGGACTGAGGAGAGAAGAGTTGTTCTGGTTAAGTATAAGTTGCCAGTTCACGTCATTGGGGAAAAATAAAAGGCAGGTCAGAGGTTCTGATGTAGAGCTGGGATTTCTCTTATGTAATATCATAACAGGGCTATCACATGAGTATTTGGGAAGTGACAAAGCCATGTATCTGATATCTCATTATCCGGGCAGTTGGGTAAAGAGGAACGTGAGATAAGAAGTGCTAGTGACTAGAAATTATAAGTAGCAAATGGAGTTTAGGGCCTGAGTTCCTTGGTGTAGCTGAGACATGCACGACATGCAAGTGTCTGCATGTGAAAGGAGGGATTTTTAGATTCCAATTTTGACATTGGAAATTCTTTTTTTTTTTTTTTTTTTTTTTTTTAAGGTTACTTAGGAGGATTTGATGGAAACTTCCTATGGAACAGAATTGGAGCTGGTAAGAAATGTTTCTAACTTTGTTAAAGAAAATAAACAGCGTTTGGACAGCTGACAGATTTCTCTTTCCTGACTAGTGGAAACAGTGCTTTATCTGAGACTTCCAGTTCTTCTCTTACCTAAGGCTCCTGCAGGCCTTGAAATGAGAGTTTAAAGCATTACCTTGCTGTAGCATGGAAATTTTTATTCAGTTAAAACAGTTAAGTAGTTAAGTAACACAAACTGGACAATGAATTACTAAAGGCAGCAGTAACATTCAACAAGTTATTATAGTCATAAGGAGTTCTATATTGAACCAGCTTCTCTGCAGTTTCCAAATTGATGTATTACTGTTGTCTCCTATTCTAGAATACAGCCTGAATGTTCCTGTTTGGTCCTTGCGACTCCTGCCAGCGCTGGCTGGTGCCCTCTGTGTCCCTTTGGCATACCAGATTTTGGTAGAAATGCACTTCTCCCACTGTGCTGCGCTTGGGGCTGCCCTTCTGATCCTCCTAGGTAAGATTAGTCCCTTGGGTCACATTCTTCATGCAAGGAGGGAGGTCCCGTAGCCCATTGTAAGCTTTTAGAGCCTGTAAAAGGATGAGTACATACAGCTGTGCAGAGGGTGCCATTCGAGACTCATCTTTAAACAAAATAGGAATAGATGGGCCATTTGTACAGAGGTAGATGCTTCTTTAATAGTCATGTTACTTGCTGAGGTGGAGCACTTACCTGGCGTCAAGGAAGCTACTAGGTAAGAGTCTCTTGTGTCTCTTTCTCTTTTTCAACAGAGAACTCTTTGATCACTCAATCGAGGTTCATGCTCCTGGAATCAATATTGATATTTTTCATCCTGCTTGCAGTTTTGTGTTTCCTGAAGTTCCACAATTCACAGAGCTATAGGTAAAGCTGGATTGTTGCTGATCCTTTTGCAGTGACCCTGGACCTTGACCCTGAGCCTTAACCCCAGACCTGACCTGGACTTGACCCTGGACCTTGACCTGGTACCTGACCCCATACCCAGGTCACAGGCTACTTTATGCCACATTTTTCTAGTTTTACTTCACCTTCTTCCACATTTGTCATGGATTTTCCACTTTTCCTTATGTTACCTTGCTTCCTATCCTCTTTTCCCACCCCTTGAACTCCCCATATCAGATGCTTTAATGGTGTGCATCCTCTGCATCTCTCTCCCTCCCACCTGCATTCATCTCCCTCCATTTCCTCCCTTTGTGCATCCTCTGTGGAAAGCTGGACACAGGTGTGGATCCTGCACCTCCAGGGCTGACCTGCCCTGGGGTCTGATCCTGCCCTCCTGGCAGGATGGAAGTTGTGTATGAGGTACCCCTGGGTAGAATAAGAATTAGTGGAGTCCTGCTGACTTTTTTTCCCAAGTTAAATTACCTGTATTCAAGCAAATGTATTAGAAATCCAGGCATTTATGCAGATCTCATTGTAGCGTTTTTTCCTTTGTCCTTTTATTTAAGTGCCTTCTCTTCAAGCTGGTGGTTTTGGCTTCTGTTGACTGGAGTAGCTTGTGCGTGTGCAGTTGGGTAAGTACCAACACTTGGTTCTTGTAAGTTGACTTGCCTGCCCAACAGACTGTTTCTGAAGTAAACATCTCAATTTGTTGAGAACAATGCCAGGCATTAAAGAGTAATAGCACAGGAAGAACATAAATGTATTTCCTAGAGATGTCTATATAAGTTAACATAACATAACCTCTCCTTCATAGTCCTCAAGCTTCAGTAAGTCTGAATTTAGTGACTCAGTGCTTACTGATCTGTCACTTTGTTACCGAGAAGATTCTCTGCCTTTGTCACTGTCAGTTATTTAGTTAGCAAGCAAATTATGTCTTCTAGGGTCAAATCCTTGAAACACATGTATATTGGCATACTAAACTTGTCATGAATGAAAGCCCTTAGGCTTAAATGCATCCTGTTCATGACAGAATTTGAATGTATGCATCTTGCATTAAGTAACAGTCATAAATGTGTATAGGTTTTAAACCAGTTGGTTTCTTTTTTTTTTTTCTCAGGGTAAAATATATGGGCCTGTTCACCTATATGCTGCTTTTAGTCATTGCAGGACTCCACTTCTGGCATATGATTGGAGACCACAATTTGTCAAACGTAGGTAGCACAGCACTCAAAATACATTGTGTGTAACCCTTTGCAACAAGAAACACCTGGGAGACTTCAAAACTACAGGTCACAATTCTACCTGTAGCTGTTTTTTATCCCACAATCCCAAATCATAGTTTGCATTATCTCATATTGTAGGATTTTTTAAAGTAAAACAAACAATATGCTGCAGTATTTTTAGTATCTGGGGCACGAAAACAGTGAACTGTCTGTGTTCCAGGTTTCCTTGATGTGCCACTTTCTGGCTCGGGGGCTGGCCCTCATCATCATCCCAGTGACAATGTACCTGTCCTTCTTCTACGTTCACTTGGCTTTGCTGTACCGCTCCGGGCCCCATGACCAAATTATGACAAGTGCTTTCCAAGCCAGCTTAGAGGTAAAGGAAGTGTGGTCACACCTGCACTCTTGTTATTTTGATTCAGCATATTTATTCCCTTAAAAAAATTTTAGTGCTTTGGTGCTGTAATGCTGCATTAAGTCTCCTTTTATTTAAAAAAGGATTGAAATCTTAGTAGCAAATGGAAAGCTTTTTTACCAATGAACTTTTTTAGATACAGCCAGACAGGAAGGCATTTGGCCAAGCTACTGCAGTTTAAATAAGAGGTGACTCTTGCCAGAATTTAAACAGCCTGTGGGCTGCAGTTTCTTCCTTCCATTCATGCTCACATTATGCTTTGCAGGGTGGACTAGCTCGAATCACTCAGGGCCAACCCTTAGAGGTGGCTTATGGCTCCCAGATAACTCTGCGGAATGTATTGGGCAAACCCATGCAGTGTTGGCTCCATTCTCACAAGAACACTTACCCCATCAGGTGAGGAATCTAGTTTATTATGTAGTCTTAGGGTGAAAATACACCTGCGTTCATCTGGATGTCCAGATAGGCAGTCTTTCGTTAAGCTTTTGGAGCACACTGTAAATGCACATGCTTTCTGTGTTCCCTAAGAGAGGAGCCAGTGATCTGATGCAGTTTTGTGGTGCTGTGCCTCTTGAGCACAGACATGTACTATTCCCCTCTTCCTGTTTTGTTTTAATCTCCTGTTCAGGTACGATAATGGCCGAGGTAGTTCCCATCAACAGCAGGTGACGTGTTATCCCTTCAAGGACGTGAACAACTGGTGGATTGTCAAAGATCCTGGAATGTGAGTATACAAGAGACTGAAATGCCAACCTGCTGCAAGCACACAGTAGTAGTACTTAGCTTAGACTGGACTTAACTGTTCTCTCGTTATAGAGGTTGAAGCCCTGAGGAAAATCATTTCAGCTGCAGAGTTGGTCAGGCTGTCTCGCTTCCCCATTATCTTCATTATGTTAGAAGCATTACTGAAGGCTCAGAGGTTCTGTTTTCTGCTCCCACCAGAGCTTGAGCTGTGCAGTGTGCAAAGGGAACTTCAAAGAGGAATGAGATTGATGTGAACTCTTCAGGTGCTGTGCATGAAAGTGAAATTCTGCCTTTTTGAAGTGTGGAAGCCTTGGCATTGAATTGCCGTGATGAGTTTTATCAAACTTGAGTAGGTCTCAGAAGAGAGTAGAAATCTCTTTTGCAGAATGAATATTTCTTTGTACTTCAAATGTGGGTTGAACTGTAGAGCCTGTCGCATCCGGAGGAATTCCAGGTGTGTGTCTGTGACTGAGCGTTTCTCCCATGTAACTGTCAGTTAGGAGTGAGACTCTTTGTTCCTGCAGCTCTGCTAGTGAAAGCCCTTGTGTGATGTCATTTTATACTGATCAAAAAGTTGCTTTTGTTTCTCATGTTACCCTGGGAACTGCATAAACAGTCCTGCTAGCAGCACTGTGTGCCATTGTAAATCTTATCCACACCAGGAGACTTTGGCCATGGTACAAACCTTACAAGGCAGGAGTACCAGATGCTTTGTGGGAACCACAGAAAATGGTATCTCCTTAAAACTTTTCAGACTCCAGACTCTTACAAGCCCTGGAGAACATCTAGGCTGCCTGTGAACCTCACAGAGTGATCAAGCACAGGCAGCAGCTACATCAGCTGCAGCGTTGCCCCTTGCCAGAACACGCGTCCATCCTGTTGAGAGGCAAGTTGAGTTTGGTCTCCTTTGTGGAGATAGCCGTTAATCTCTGCCCAGAGTGACACTGGTGGTAGTAAGAACACCTGTCAGCTTGCACTGAAGCACTTACCCATTTCATGGAAGCCACCAAGCAGCTGTTGGATGGGAAGAATCTGGACTCGCTCTTGGCTGACCTGGATTCAGACCGCAGGCTGGGGTGTCGGTATCCCCTTACCAGTCCCCTGAGCCATTCTGTCTTTAACTCTCCTTTGCCTTGGCAAGCCTTGTTTCCATTATGGTGTAACCTGTCAGTTGCTTGAATTTTTCATCTTGCCATCTCTCCTTTTATCCATGTTTGCATCTTCTCGACCTCTCAGTTTGGTTGTGACAAGGTGGCATTCTTTAGAAAGAAGAGGGTCACCACTTCCTCTTGTGTCTCCCTCCACCAGGCAGCAGCTGGTGGTGAGTAACCCACCCCGTCCTGTCAGACATGGGCACATTGTGCAGCTGGTACATGGCATCACCACGCGATACCTCAACACGTAAGACACTTTTTTTTTCCCCCATCCTCTTTCAAGCTGCTTGCTCAGTGTTTTCCTGTTTCTCAGAATAACTGTTTGGAGTGGAGGTGCAGGACCCTTCTGTTCAGCTACACTATAAACTACCTGTTAGTCCTTAAACAGTGGGGCTAGGAGGGGCCTCATGGTTAGTCATATAGGTCATCCCTGTGCCATGGAGAAAGAATTCAGTGCTTATTTGTGCAGTTGGCTTGGCAGTAGGATTTGATTAACCAAAATCTTACTCAGTGCCTGGTCGTTATTTCTAGTCTACTCTGCTGTGGATCTTCAAAGAGGTTAACAGACATGTTGACTCTTATTTACCTGATACAGATCATGCTGATTCTCATAAATACGTGTCTCCCTACAAAGGCTCCATCCTTCTCCCTTCACTGCCCTCTGTCCAGGAAGGTGGAGACATTTACTATTTTGTGAGACCAACAGCTAGCAGCACTGGTCATTTTCATAGCATAGTCTTGGATGATGGATGTGCTGTGAAAGTTAAGACAGTATTTTGGAGTCACTTGTGTGCTGAGGCTGATTGCTCTGGGTTCCTGCCTGTTTTGTAAAGACTGCTCTATGAAATGGCCTCCTGATTCCTATCCAGAGGGATGGAGCATGCACTTGAATATCACTCAGATTTAGAAGGGGAACATCCTGACCTTGGGTTTTTGCTGTGTCCCTTCCAAACCCAATTTGTTCATTATCAGAAACCCCAGTGAAGAGCTTCTCTGTTTGTCACAATCAGGGCTTGTTCTACAGCCCAGGACAGGAGTCATCTGTATTGGCTTCCTCCAAGCCTGTTCCTGGCAGCTCTTGTTAATGAGAGTGTTCTCTTTCAGAGTAAATAGTGCAATCTGTACAAATGGGTTATTTGGGTTTACTTTATTGATGAAATTGGTCTAAGCCAACTTGGTAACTTTATATTTGGAGTTTTTTATTATACAAATTTGGTAAATGATATTACAGAGTCTATGGGCGTGTAATTTTATCCTGTCCTGCAGGCATGATGTTGCTGCCCCTCTTAGCCCGCATGCCCAAGAAGTCTCCTGTTACATTGATTATAACATCTCCATGCCAGCACAGAACCTCTGGAGAGTGGTGAGTAGTCTAAGAGAAGGGAGGAGCACGTTTCTGTCTGGAAGAAACAGCTGAGAAAAAATGACAGTCGAAATTCATCTGTCTATTGTAGGAAATTGTGAATCGGGAATCTGATACAGATGTGTGGAAGACAATTCTATCAGAAGTGAGATTTGTGCATGTGAACACCTCTGCAGTGCTAAAGGTAAGCGTGAGGTTTATCTATCTAGATAAACCTTTTTCCTACATGTAGCTTGTATAATCTCTATGCCCCAAAAGACCCAACCCACGTAAACCAAACATATAAATAAATAAACAGAAGCAAAAAAAAATGCTAGATATCCAAAGAGGGAAAAGAATCCAAATTGTGTGTTTCAGGTGTTTGTACTGATTCCTTCTCAGCATGCAGAGCTGTCCTGCTTCTCAGGAGGTTGTGGTGACTCTACACAGCTAAGCCTCGGACACCACCTCACAAATTGGTGCTGGGGCTGTGTGTTGTAGCTCTCAGCAGCTGGAGCAGTTAAGAATCTCATCACAGCATTTGCCAGAATTGCTGACCTTACAGCTGCAGCGCTGGTGGAGGCAGTGTTGTGTGGTGACTCTTCACAGACTTTTCAGCAGTCCCTTTTTCCCATCTGCTGCTCGTTTAGGGCCTCGCAATTTCCAGCCTGAAGTTCAAACTGGCAGGGCTGTAAGACTAAAACGTCTTTCACTTGCAGCTCAGTGGAGCATCGCTACCCGAGTGGGGATACCGGCAGCTGGAGGTGGTTGGAGAGAAGCTCTCCAAAGGCTTCCACCAGAGCATGGTGTGGAATGTGGAAGAGCACAGATACGGGAAAAGTAGGTGTTCTCTAGACAGATTCCATGATGGGGTCCTCCTTTTCATAGAAAGGTATCGTGTCAATACATGATGTGTGTGTTTCGCATAAAAGTATTTTCCTTGGTAGTATAGGAAACAAAACCTACTTGTTGTGTTGGATATTTAACTACAGTGCAACATGGGTGGAAGGATGCTGTCCCATGGAATTGCTTATGCTGAGTACAGAGAGAGGAGAATGTTCTTGGGATGTTCTGGCCACACATAGCTAATAATGGGTTTGAAGAGCTTTTGAGAGGACTCTGCCTCTACCAGGGTGTCCAGACCTTTAAAAATTCCCTCAGAAGTCTCTTGCCAACAGACTGTTGCAGACCCCTTGAGTGAAGAGCAGGGTTATAGCATGGGCACACCTAATTAATTTCATGCTGTTACATTGCCCTTTCCGAGCTATGCTGTTTGCTTCCAGGCCAAGAGCAGAAAGAAAGGGAAGTGGAGCTCCACTCTCCTACGCAGATGGACATCAGTAAAAACCTTAGCTTCATGGCCAAATTTGCAGAATTACAGGTGAGTATCTTCCCTGTGCCATTCTTGTTGGCTTTGTCCTTTTTTTTTTTCTGCTGAGCAGGAAATTAGACATTTCTGCAGCATCTGAGTCTGAAAAGCCATTGTTTATTCCTTGCTGATAGAGTAATTTAGCTTCCTCAATTAAGAAGAAAAATCTGAATGCTCTTAGAGGGGCTTTAGAAAACTGCTCAACTGTACTATTCAGTAAGGAATACATGAATGACTGTGTGAAAAATGAAGGAGGAAGAGCTGTTAGGCATCCAGAAATCTCACTGAAACTGAGCCTTAATGTCTTTATATGTGAAATCAGTAGTGTTGATATCCCTTAGTAACATTTCAGAATTTTGCTAAGGAAAGTGCATTTCATTAGAACAAAACAAAAGCATTTTAGTTATCAGTACAAGAGATGAAAAATCTTTCTTTGCTTTCAGGCTAAGAGCTTAGATCTTGCAGCTGGAGCTGCTCATCCAGCCCCGATTTCTCATTTGTGGCTTCAATTCTGTTTCCTTTGTTCTAGTGGAAGATACTAACATTGAAAAATGAAGATACGGAACATAAATACAGCTCCTCAGCTGTGGACTGGATCACGATGGATACAAATATTGCCTACTGGCTCCACCCAACCTCTGGGGTAAGTCTGAAGCTGAGTAAATGAGAACCCATAGAACAAAGCAGGTTAGTTCTGATGTGAGTTCCCGAAGGGAGAGTGAGAGAGTTCAGTCCAAAGAACAATTTAAAGAAATCACTTCTTGCATTTTTTAAGGGGAAAAACTGCAATTTATTAGTTACCATTACTGAGTCTGTTTAAAAGATGAGTTCATCTTCAGTTGTATCTTTTAAATATGCCATACGTTAAAAAGAACAAGAGCCTAAGAGCATCCAAGCTTATCAACCTGCTTTGTTCCAAGAAAAATCAGGTTGCTAGCCAGATATATGCTGAATTTTTGATTTAGCAGATATATGTGGGAAATATTTGAACTTAATCTAAAACAAAACTGGGGCGTGTTCCTTCTTCTGGCTCAGACCATCTCATGTCCTGCAGGCTCAGATCCACCTCATTGGCAATGTTCTCACCTGGGCCTCAGCTAATGTTGCTGCCCTGATCTACGTGTGTTTGTCGCTGTGGTACTTGGTGCGGCGAAGGAGAAGAATTTACGACGTTCCCGAAGGTCTGACTGAGATGGAGATGAGTTCTCTTGTTCTACCAGACTTTAATGGGGCCAGACCCACGTTTTTGCTGCTGTGTATTTAGCTGTGGTAGCTTTTTCTGTGCAGGAGCTCCCCAGCTTTTTATTTGGGACACACAGGTGTGCGGAGAGCTCCATGTCCAACCAGCAAGAGGTTGGTTATGGCCTCTGGGAAGGTGACCCTCATCTCATGAAACAATATGGCAGCCAGCATAATATGTGGCTTATTCCCTTGATTAAAAAAAACATCTCTGGGCATTAGATTCAGACGGTACAGAGAACCTTTGTGACTGTTGTAAAGGAAATAGAGGGAGACACTGACTCTGTTGGGGGTGTTTATTTTAGAAGTGTTCTTTCTGGCAGAGGTGCCATCCCTGCCACATGTCCTGCTTTCCCCAAGCTTTCTGGGAGTACATCCCACTGTTATGGGGTGAAGCTGCTTCATTTTGACATTGGTCTGTCTTAATAGGCACGTCATAAAAGCGTGACAAAATTTAACCATTTCCCTCCACTGGGAGGTGTGAGTAAGTTAGTTAAACGTCTTTTAACACAAAATATAGAAAATAGAAGCCTTCAAGAGGTAACGTTTTAGAAGCTTTACGTTTCTGGGGTTGTGTTTCAAGGACAGCATTAGGATCGGAGTGCTCTCTTTGGCAGATGCGTGGCAGCTCTGGGTGTCAGCAGGGAGGATCTGTGTTGGAGGCTGGGCTGTCAATTACCTGCCTTTCTTCCTGATGGAGAAAACGCTCTTCCTGTACCACTACCTGCCTGCCCTCACGTTCCAGATTCTCCTGATTCCCGTCGTATTGCAGCACCTCAGCGATCATCTCTGCAGGTACGTGGGCCAGGACAGTTTCTAACAGAGCTGGACAAAACAAGGTGCGTGGGTCTTTCTTTCAGTGCTTGGCAAGTTCCTGCAGAAAAGCAGTATTTTTTTTTTTCCCCCCCTCCTAGTAGTGTCTTTGTTGCAGCACGGCTTTAGCCACGTTTTGTTATTTTCTAAATTCCCATTTTTGCTCTCTTTCCTCCCCCATCCCATCCCAGATCTCTGCTTTCCAAAAGCATGTTCAGCGCCTTCCTTGTGGCCTGGTTCTCCTCAGTTTATCTTGTCTACTGCACATTCAGCCCCGTGACCTACGGGGATCCCTCTCTGTCAGTTGCTGAGCTCAAGGATTTGCGCTGGAAGGACAGCTGGAACATCCTCATCCGGAAACAGTAACAGCCTCAGTTACGCTCATAGGCTTGTTGCAGGCAAATGGGAATATCTTTTATGCCAAGCCAAGAATTTGTTGTATAATTGAAACGTTACCAAGCTGATCCAATAATGGACATTAGTTCAGATTTAATTAAAATAGAAAAAAATGAGGGAAAAAATAAAAGAACAGTGTTATAGAAGAGGTTTCAGCAGCAGTACTGGAAGTTATTACCAGCACAGGACCCAGTGGCTACTCCTGTTAGGCTGCCCTTTTTGCTCTACCTTGGCTGCTCCATCAGTCTGGAGGAGATCACAGCAAATTCTCAGCACCCCAGGCCCTGTGCTGGGAGGAGTACGATGCAGGTAATGAGTTTCACCTTCCTCTGCAGGGAGGCTGATGTTGATAGTTTCTTTCTTTTAGCTCCAGGGTATGTGCAGGCCTAGTTTATGTCTCCTAGCAGTTTGTTCTTTCTTGCTTGGGGTAAAGTAACATGTTAAAACAAAAGTTACTTTAGATGAACAGTCTAGAATCAGTTACTGCTGTTGCCCAGCTCCCAAGTTTGCATTTAGCTACCAATAATTGACTCTGTGGGCTCCAGTATCAGCCCAAGCTTGTATTCCTTTGCACCCAGTTTGGTGCCCCCACTTTCATGGTCTCTGTGGTCATCCTTATTTCTCTGCAATACAGCACTGTGCCAGGATTATAAATAGTTCATTCTACGTAGATTAATGACTTGCTACTATTACCTGTGTGCAGTCATGTGGTATAACCATAATTTTTATAAGCCTAAGCAAAAATAAACAAATTATTAGGCATTAAAAATGCTGTTACAGCTAAATGGGCTAAGAACAAACCTGCAGGCAGCCCAAGAAAGGACAGGCACAGCCAGAAAGAGCCAGAGACCTTGCAGAGTAAGTGCAAAGTCTGTAGGCTGTTGTGTTACAGGGTTATACCTCAGATACCTCGAAGAGGAGCTTTAAGCAAGGTAGCACTGATAATGCTGAAAAGAAATCTGCTCGGACTGGTAGTTTGGGTAGGAAAAAAAAAATAGAGGTAACTCAGCCCTTGTCCTGACTTGCATCTGCAGAGGATGGTACAGGGTGTAGCAGAGGCTGCCGGATGAGAAGTGGGGTCCCTTGCATGGCCTTGCGACTGGGGACCATGTAGCAGCTCCTTCACCTGCCTTCAACAAGCAGCCTAGGACCCGGGCCAGGTCTGACTGTCTTTTCTGGTGGTTGCAGCAGCCTCCTGCAGTAGAGATCAAAGCTTCCCAAGCGCACAGCACTTGCTGAGCAGCAGAGACTGACCAGGCTCTACCTGTGGAGCTCCCTGCTGCTGTAAGTGATGTTGCTCAAGGCTGCCTTGATCTTCTCCCCCATGAGGCCGGGTGATCAAACACTACATTCACTCCAAGCAGAGCTTAGAGACTGTTTCACTGCTCCTTAAAGCTCCTGATAGCTCAGTCTTCAGTTGAACTATCTCCTGCTCAGGCTGTTACCCTGACCAAAAAGCAGCTCAACAGCAGGAAACCTCCCTTCTCTTGCTGGCTTCACTATTACCCCCACGTACCCCTGTGCCAGGGTGTTCACCTAGCAGGTACCAACTTTCTATGGTGCTGGAGATGTTGTAGAGATGACGCTGCAGCCTGCAGTTTTATTCTTTTCCCTAAAGCTTCAACCATTACAGAAATAAAGCTAACAATTCTGGGTTTACCTTATACTGTTGAGTATGAAAAATCGCCAATAATGTTGGGGCTACTTTCATTGTAACAGTACAAACACACAAAACAGAATGGCTTTTATATAAAATGCTCCTTTCTGCTCACTGTTGATTCATTTATTAGACAAAGCAAAACATCCACAGCCAGGCTTTGGTTTTAGAAAACTAGCAAATACAAAAAAGTTCCTCCTAATAACGTTTCCATCCCCCCACCCCCCTATTATTAGAGCTACTGTAAGTGCAGATGTAGTGACAGAAAAATATAACACAGACACATTTTAAAGGCCCAACTGATCCTTCATTCCAGAAGTTCTCCAGAAACTGCTGCTGTGGTGTAACTAAGATAAATTGTGGAAATAGGGCTATCACTTTTTATACTTCCAGCTGCCTCTGCTTTTTTTAGAAAACCACAACATTTGTGTCTTTAAAACACTTTTAACTGTTTAAAAGTGTAAGGTACACATTCTGACTCTACTAGAGGGTAGAAATATGTCAGGTAGCTTCTTACAGTTTGTTCTATCAGGAGGGGCAATTCACATCCTTCCCCTTTGCTGATTTAACTACCCAGTTCTGTAAGTGGATGGATTCTGCCCAGCAGACCCTGCAACCAGCAGCACTGAAACGTCCTCAGTCACTAGAACTGACAAGGTCACGTTTCTTTTCCCCACGAGCAACTCACCCCAGCTGGAGCTCACTATTCAGAAACGATGGTAAAGGGGACTCTATTTGGGTACAAAAATGACAGCCTCATCTACAGACAGCACAGCAAGGCCGAGGTGCTCGGCAGGTACCAATTATGAACCAGACTCACTCTGATTCTCGAGCCTGTGCTTGTGGTGAACTGCAAGTTCCGTTTTGTCCTGGAGGGCCTGTGTTTCCCCTCTAGCTTGGGCAAGAGCTGCTTATATTGTGGTGTTCATGAGTTCTCACCTGCTCCACAGCAGCTCCAGGTGACACGGGAGGCTGCCCCGGAACACGATGCCAGGGCGAGGGCCCAGAGAGCAGGGCTGCAAATGACTCTACCTGCTTGTTTAATTCAGAGGGTCTGTGATTGTCTTTCTTGGACACAGACAGACTGTTTTCCTTTCAGAAAACACACAGAAGCAGGTGCTAAGTTTCCTGCTAAGGAAGAGCAGCACTGGGGAAATGGGTTATCTCGTTAAACACCTGGTAGCGCTTCACCTTCGGGGCTGAGTTCACAGCATTAGATGTCACTTGGAAAATTAAAAACCAAAGGCAAGTTAGAACTGCCTCTAACCGCTTCACTTAGCAACGATATAGTGAGATATCCAAGGGGGAAAGGGGAAGGTTTTCGGCAGGGAGAGGGGCAACAGTCCCTTCTTCCTCTCCTCGCTGCGAGAAGTTTCACACCAGTGTCCCCTCTGCTGCTGCGATCATTTAAAGGGCACTTCACAAACCTCTTTTGCTAGTAGCTCTTCCTTCCCAAAGTTTTTTTGGGCACTGGTCTGGAGCCGAGGCAAATCCCGCGGGTTAGTGGGGCCGGCTGCTGGACTCCAGGTGCGAGCGCTTGCCGGCCGCCAGCACCGCGCCGCTCTCGGCCTGCTCGGGGAACGGGCGCTTGTAGCTCCGGCCGTGCCCGTTGACCGCCCCTCGCTGCCACTTGCAGATGTCACCGTTCAGGATGTCCTGAATGTGCTGCACGATGAGGTTTATAGCAACTGCGGAGAGAAACAGGGAGCGTGGGGCAACGTGGGCCTGGCCGAGCTACGCAAAATATAAATGTGCATCAGCCAACCCCGTACAACTCAAATGTATACATTAACAGCAGGTCCTTAAATGAACCTACAGCTGCCTTCTGCTCCCCAAACCAGCACCCTGCTGTGCACCCCCAGCACGTACAACGTGTCCCAGCCCTTCGCAGACCCAGGCCAGGCTCTGGGCTCCCCTGCGTCCCTCCAGCACAACCCTTTGACCCCCCACGGGTGTGCAGGGGTGCCCCATGTGCCGTCACCCCCAAAGCGGGTTCCTCGGAGAACTGAGCTCCCTTTTACCCATGTTGTCCACGCCGCGGGGGATGATCACATCTGCATACTTCTTTGTCTGCAAAACAGAACGGTGGTGGAGACGGTCACTGGCAGAAGTTAAATTCAAGGAAGAAACTAAGAGAAATCTGAGATCTAACAATAAAGATGGAGGAGGGTTTTTTTTTTGGTTTTTTTTTGTTTTTAATGCTCAAGTTAAAACTTGCTTGCCTGGTAGTATCTAAATGAACTGGAAAGTCATACTGGGTAACACAGCGTGGATGTGCCCCTCTGCAGGGAATCACCAGGTAGGAGGTGGGCACCTGAGCAGGTAGCTCGAGTGGGAATTGGCATTTCCACTTCTGAAACGGACTGTCCGTAGCGTGTGGCACACGGGCTTCCTCCCATCAGCATGTCACGAGCCATTACTAAATCTCTGCCAAAAGCCAAGGCCCCTAACGGACACGTGAAATTCCTTCCTGCCTCTGATGACATTTTACTGATTTTTGCCACCTCCCGTTTTCTTTTTCCCCTCCCTATTTACAGATCAGTTAACAAATTCAGCAGTTTTAATGAATACTTTCACAATTCCAACATTGCTTTGATCCAGAACAAGCAAAGCCCGGTCTAGTGCTTAATCCACAAGCAGAATCTTGTCCTCAAGGGATTTTTACAAATTAATATGTGTGTAAGCACCTCAAATGCCTTCACACTGTACAGACTAACAAGCAGACTGTATAATGATCTGCCCCAGGTTTCATCAGTATTCCTCGCTGAGACAGAGTCTGCTGGAAAACGATCTTTTTTTCCCCAAAGATTTAAGAATAAATGTGGTTGGGGGGGGTGTTTCAGGCCAAAGCCCCTTGCTGGAACAGCCATGGCAGTGAGAAGTGTGGATTATCAGGGTGCTGCTGTGGATTATTATGGTGCTTTGCCAGCACAAAGAACCAGCCTTAAGTTCCTTAAACAGCTTGCAGTGATTAAAGAGATAGGGCAGAAGGGGGAGTGCGGGACTCGTAAAAGACTAATACAAAAAGCTACCCTCACAGAAGAGCGAATTGCCAGGCAACTCTTTCTCCCTCCTCCCCCCCCCCAAAAAAAACAACAAAAACCACCCAAATCAAATGAATGAACCCTTTAGTACCGGTAAGCAGAATTCCTCAAAGGCAGGTTTGACAAACGTCGTGTACTGGGTGAGGATCTGCTCCAGGTCCCTGCCACGTTTCATATCTCGCAGCACTGGGACAGGAAAAGAAGCAGCCGTGAGTTTTACCACGAAAGCAAAGGTGGGTGAGGAAACCTGACCAACAGACCGGGAACAGGGCCACGGCCGAGCGAGCGGCACCTCTGCGGGACAGCCTGACGTCCGAATCCGTGTCCACAAAGAGCCGGAGGTGGAACATGTCCCTAATGTCCTGGCTGTAGAAGACCAGGATCCCCTCAAACAGGACGACGTCGGCTGGATAAACCACGGTCGTCTCTTCCAGCCTGGAAGGAAACAAAAGCAGAGCACTTGGGTGAATGGATCTTGCACCACACTCGGAGTGTGTAAGGGGCAGCTGGGCAGCTCCTGCGCCAGGCACAAGGGGAGCCCTCGACCAGCACAGATCTGGCACCTACCTAGAATGGGTCACGAAGTCGTAGGTTGGAACCTCAACTGTTTTCCCCTCAACAATATTTTTCAAGGTTGTATGCATCAAATCGTTATCAAAAGCATCTGCAAGAGAATGGTAGAAAGAGGATGATCAGATGCTGCAACAGCTCAAGTTCTGCTCTGGTTTTCTCTTCCTGAAGGAGAAGTTGCCTGTCAAGTATTCCACCATGGAAAAGGAAATTCTGGCCTATTCTTTCCAGCAACAACCCAGCACCCTCTCCATCCCCAAACTATTTGGTTTTATTTGGTTACAAACACAAGGGAGAGAGACTTTGTCACTGACAAGCAACTACAGTATGTTGAAATATCCCAAAAGTGCCATTGCTTTTCTCACCTCTCAGCAATTATATAATTTATTTGTATGTGTCTCTTCCAGACTGTTAGTTAAAAGTATATGAGAAAACCTCAGACATCTTAAGGCTGTTTGGGAGAGGTGCCCACCGTGTCCAACCTTAAACGTGTCCAACCCCGTGTACAACCAGACACTAAACGTCAGACAAGGGCAAGTGGTCTCCCACTTGCCACTAAGCAGCATGTCCCAGAGTGCTGGCAGTTGTTTGCATGGAAAAGAAACATCAGGAAAGGACTTGGAGCTCTGTGTATTTTTTTTCTGTGCATTCCAGCAGTGGCATCCGGACGCTCCCTTGCGCATTCGCTAAGAAGGAGGCTCAGGAGAGGGAGGAAGAGGCTCACAGGGCTTCACGGGACATCAGGGTGCGGAGCCTCCTCCCCATCCCTGCCGTCTGCTCCTCCTCTAACGGAGCTCCTGGAATTCTGCTCATGGAGCGGGCGAGACAGCCGGTGCCGCCGGTGTCCCTGCTGCGACACCCGCAGAGGCTGCTGCCCTCAGGGCCGGCAGCTCCCGACCTCCCCGCGCAGCAAACACGCCGCAACAGCCTCTTCCCACGCACCGAAAGCCCGGCCACGCTTTGCAAAAAGGCCCTTTTTCTGTCCCAAAGCGCGGAGCCTTACCCGGGTGGTCGAAGTTGTACTGGCCCTTGAGCGCCTTGGCCTTCTGCTCGGCCGTGAGCACCTTGTAGAAGCGGTCCTGGCTGAGGATGAGCACCTTGCGCTGCCGGTGGTCCACCTCGTTCTGGCCCAGCAGCTCCATGATCTTCTCGCACACCGTGGACTGCGGGGGCACGCGGACGCGTCGGCGGGGACGGCCCTGCCGGCGGCTCCCGGCCCGCTCCAGGGCCTTGGACACGGCCTGGGGCTGGGAAGGGGCTGGAAGGACCGGGAAGGGGCCGGGAAGGGGCAGGAGGGGTCGGGAAGGGGCAGGAGGGCTGGGAAAGGGCCGGGAAGGAGCTAGGAAGGGGCTGGGAAGGGTCAGGAGGGCCGGGACGGGTCGGAATGGCCGGGAAGGGCTGGGAATGGCCGGGAAGGGCTGGGAAGGGTTGGAAGGGGCTGGGAAGGCACTGGGAATGGCCGGGAAGGGCCGGGAAGGGTCGGGATGGGTCAGAAGTGCCGGGAAGGGTTAGGAAGGGGCTGGGAAGGCACCGGGAAGGGTCGGGAATGGCCGGGAAGGGGCCGGGCCGGGGCCGCTGCCCGGAGCTCCCGCCCGGCAGCAGTTGCGGGGCTCCCCCGCTGCTGGGGGGCTCCCTGCACGCCGAGCACGAGGTGCAGCCGCCACGAGCCCCCCCGCCGCAGTCCCGGCTCCCCCCGTGTCACAAAGCCGGGGCGCTGAGGCCGCGCACAACTCGCGGCACGTGCGGCCCCCCGCCGGCCCCGCGGGCGGCAGTGCCGGGCCGGGCCGGGCCGGGCCGGGGTCGCACCTTGCCGCTGGCGGTGCCGCCGCTCACGCCGATGAGGAAGGGTTTGGGATGCGGCCGCTCGGGCTCGCTGGGGCCGGCGCCGCCCGCGGAGGCCATGGCGGCGCGGGGCGGGGCGAGCGGCGCGGGGCGGGGCGAGCGGCGCGGCGCGGGGCGGGGCGAGCGGCGCGGGGCGGGGCGGGGCGGGGCGAGCGGCGCGGGGCGGGGCGAGCGGCGCGGGGCGGGCGGCGCGGCGCGCGGGGCATCACGGGAAGTGTAGTCCAGGGGGCGGGGCCCGCGCGCCGCTGAGCTGCGATGAGCGGCGCCGGCCTCAGCCGGGAACGTGCGCGCGGGTCTGTGCCCGCACACACACACATGTGTACCCATACATGTACACACACGTGTCCATAGACATATACACATGCATATACATACACATGTACGTATATACAAATGCACACGTGTACACACATATGAATATAAATGTACATATCCATATACATACATGTGCATACACATATAGATATGTACACTTACACACACGTGTGTGTTTATATACACACACACACACACACTCACATAACACATACGTGTGTGCATATATAATATATCCAATATATAAAATATATATATAATTAGAATACATATGTTAAATATAGATATATATTATATTTTTTATGCACACACAGACTCACATAACAGGTGAGGGTGGAAGGAACCTCTCGCGCTCACTTAGGCCCGCCCCACCTCGAGCAGGGACACCCAGGGCATGTGGCACACCTATGTACCCATACGTGTGCCCCCATATGCCCATGTACAGGCACGTATACCTGCGTGCACTCGTCTTTATGTCTCCTTATACACGTACACCCTCCTTATGCCGCTGCACATATCCCTAACCACACAGATTTCCGCACAGACATGTGCAATGTGCACCGACCACTGCGTGCACGGGTGCGTGCACACATGCACATGCGTGTGCACATACGTGTGCGCGCGCACACACACACACACACACACAGAGCCGCTGTGCCGGGGGTCCCGGCCCTGGCGCCCGCGCGGCCGCCGCCGCCGCCCTGGTCAATGATTAAATCGGGGCGGCCCCGCGGCGGCAGCTCCGCGAGCGGGCGGCCATGCAGACAGGTAAGCGGCGCCAGCGCCCCTGCCCTGCAAACAGAACCCCCAAATCCTCCCCTTTCCCCCCAAACCCTGCAGGGGCCCCGTGGGGCGGCAGGGGGCTGTTCAGGGCCCCTCCACGTGGCCTCCCCACCAGCCCGGTCCCAGCGATGGCGAAACCAGGTGGGACCCCCCCCCCCCGCCCCAGTGCAACCCAGTCCCCGCATCCCCTGGGGACGGGGCCCCGTGGCCGTCCCGCTGCCTCCTGCCCCCCAAGGGCAGCGCTGGTGCCCACAGCAGCCCAGCCTTGAACCCCCCCTGCCCTCAGATCACTCCATGACGCCCCCAGGCCGCGGGGAGGGCGGCCCCATCCCCGCAGGGATCACGGCAGCCCCGGGGGGCGACGCGGCAGCCGCCTGGGAGCCACCGGGGAGCCCCCCAGGGCCGGGCGCCCCCACGGAGCCAGCGGCCGCCAGCACCGCGAGGGACCCGCGCGGGGACCCGCCGCCCTACACGCCGCCGGACCCCAAGAGCCTCTACCTGCTCTTCCCGCCGGCCGCGTCCCGGCCGGGCGCCCAGGGCGGCCTCCCGCTGCCCTACACCATCGTACGTAGCCGCCCGCTGCCCTTCGCCGTCGTACGGAGCGGCCGCCGCGGCCGTGGGGAAGGGTCCGGGCTGAGGCGCCCGCCGCCGCTCTCCCGCAGTGCAACGGGCAGCCGGGGGGCCCCGCGCCGCCCGCCGCGCCGCCCAGGGACTACGTGGTGGAGTCGGCGCTGGTCACCGTCTTCTGCTGCCTGTTCACGGGCGTCGCGGCGCTCGTCTACTCCCACGAGGTGAGGACGGCCGCGCGCGCCCGCCGCCGAGCCCCGCGCTCGTAACTGCCCCGCGCTCTCCCCACGGCAGACGCGGGCGGCGCTCCGCCGGGGCGACATGCCGCAGGCCAGGCGGGCCTCCAAGAAGACCCAGGCCCTGGTGCTCTTCAGCCTCTTCTTCGGGCTCTTCGTCTCCTTCGGTTGGGTCACCTACGTTATCATCGTTCTTTACGTGTGAGGCCGGCGCGGGGGGCTCGTCCCGACGCCCCAGACTGCCCGGGGCCGGGTTGGTGGCAGGACACAAGTCCTCGTCCTCGTGGGGTCTCTGCCAGCCCCGTGAGACACACGCGGCTGCTCCCGCGCCCGGGGAAGGCGCAGGATGCGGCCCCGGAGCTCCGTGCTGCCGCGCTGCAATCTGGGATCCCCTTCCCGAGGAGCATCCCTGGGGGCTGCACCGATCCCGGGATCTCAGGAACGGATCCTGGGATCCCGAGATGTCGCTCGCAGGACCGGCCGCCTCAGCCCAGCGACCCACCCCGTCTTCCTCAGTCCGCGCTGGAAGCAACGTGCAGAGCACGGGGCGCGCGGCCGCAGCCCCAGCCACGCTGCGCTGGGCCGGAGCACGTCCGCAACACCCTCCTAATTCATCATGCGAGAAAACGTTTTTAAGAACGATCTGTATCATCACTCCCACAGTAATTCTGCACAGACACGTGCTGTGCCGCGGCCTTTCTGCTGCTGTTTGAATAAAATGCAGGTGTTTCCACAGCTCGGCCTCCCCATGCAGCTGGGACCCCCCAGCATGGGTCTGCGGCAAAATTCGGGATAATTTCTTCCGTGATTGGGGTTTCCTTGGGCAGCAGCCGGTGCCGGCGGCCCTGTGCGCGGGGCGGGAGGCCGGGCAGCCCCAGAGCTCCGGCGGTGGCGGCCGCAGGGCCGCGCGGCTCCCCCGGCTCCCGCTCCCGCCGGCGGCTGCCGGCTGTGCCGGGGAAGGCGGCCGCGGCGCCAGGTCTGACCGGCGCGGGGGTTTCACGGCTCTCACACAGCGACAGTCGCGGCCCTGCACGGGCACCCCGGCCACGCGCTGTGCGGAGCAGGGACCCCCGCACCCCCGGGCGTCCCCTGGTCTCAGACCCTCCACGCGCTGGTTTGTGGGGCAAAAGCAGAGCAGAAAGGAGGCCAGAGGAGGAGTGAAAACCGGCAGAAAACACCAGGCCACACGAGCTCCAGAGGTGGATTCGATTGTCACTTTAATCCACAGACTGCTGCATGCACCGTAAACAGGGTCAGTAGGCAGGTTCGCTCCTGGTCTTTATTCCTCCCTCTTTTATATAAAAGTCACAGGTTGGACAGGTTTGCGGGGCGATGCCGCCGCCGGGACCCCCGCAAGGCCCGAGGCCGCCGCAGCTCCCGCGGGGGCTTTGGTGCTGCCACCACTCACCACACTCCTCAGGGGCCTAGGCTGGAGCACCGGTGACGTGACACGGCAGGGGCCGGCCGGCGGCTCGGCCACGCTCCCATCGGCCTCCTCACAAGCTCCTCTTTTCTTTTTTACTTATTTTTCTTGTTATTTTTAAATCATATTTACAAAGGACAAGCATTACCTCCTGTGTGGAAGGCTGCGGGGCCCTGGGGGATTGCAAAGGCTCTGCCGGGCACCCCGTGATGTGCGCTGCACACTCATGCCGTAGAAACCCACCGCTTTTCCAGGCTGCTCCCAGCCCGGGCAGCAAAGATGCAGCCCGGATCGATCCCTGTGTTGTCCGACGGGGATTGCAGAGCCCTGAGCTCCCCTTAGCTGGGGATGCCTCTGCGCTGGCTCTGCATGTGCCCCAGCCTGGCTGGTTCTGCGAGTGCTTGGCCCCTGCACCGGGTGAGGTTTGGAGCTGCTTCTGCATCCGTTGGGAAGCGGATGCATCCCGAGGGCCTGGACACGCCGCCGGCTCGCTGAGGATCCCAGGGAAAGAGCGGGCCAGGCCGTGCGGGGCAGGCAGAAGCCGCCTCTCTCCTGCCAATGGCACAAGCGAGCGGGAGGCTGAGCGGGGAGCAGGGCCGAGCGGAGCCGGGTGCATCCCGGAGCGGAGCCGGGTGCATCCCGGAGCGCACGGAGCGGTGCCGGAGGGGCTGGCGCGGCCTCTGCAATGCACGGGCAGCAGGAAGCCCTGCTTCCCCCCTGCTAAACGGAGCCTGCAACAACACGGAGCTGCTACTGAGAAATAAATTAAGGGTGTTGGGAAACGTCCCGCCCTGCCCGCGGCCGCCGGGGACCTGCCGGGCTCCCAGCGGAGCGAGCTCGGGGAAGAGCCGCGCGCAACGACGTGGTTCCGGCCAGGGCCTCGCAGGGCCCGTAAAAGCTACAGCACGCACTCGACAACATGATCACACTGTAAACAACGGGGAGGGACTGCAAGGCAGGGAGGCGACGGCCCGGCTGGGGCTGCAGTGCTGAGGACGATGGAGAGCGGAGGAAGGGGCTGGATAAGGCACCGAACAGGTCGGGGTTGGCCCCGCGCCGGCGGGAACGCGGGGCTGCCTGTGCCCTGCTGGCCCTGGGAATGGCTGTGCCGGGCACGGCGCCTGCTTGAGGCTTTTTTTCCCCAAAAAGAGAGGACCACAAAGCACCAAGGGTGACCAGGCGGCACCCCCCTCAGCCCCCAAACCCATTTGGCAACAACGAGAGGGGAGGGATGGGCTGGAGGGGACGGGGCTCCTTCCCTGCTGGCATTTCCAATCCCGGAAAGGCCTCCGCTAGCTCCTCTGCCTGGATCCTGCATCCCGCTGCCCCCAGCCTCCTTAATTCCAGCACTCGGAACAACATGGTCACCGCTTGTGAATTTTGACACATCTTGTTTTGCAATTCTTCTTTTCCTATAAATCCAATGCTTTTCAGACATGCATCAAAAAAAAAAAAAAATCCTCAGTGGCTTCTAAATACTAATATTTACAGTCTTATATACTACAGAATTTACTGTGCAAAAGCTAGTACCATCACTAAAAGGTAACGGGTTCACGGGACGGGTGAGCCACGGCACCTCGGCTAGTCAATATTTCCAGGGTTCAAGGGGATTATCGATGCTTAAATAACAAGACGTGAGAGGAGGAGGGGGATCCGACGGCTGGAGACGGCGGCTCCCTGCCCACCGTTTCAGTGCCTCTTCTGCATCTGCGCGCGGCGCCTTCGTCCCCATCGGAAGGCGAGGGAGACGGGGGGGTAAAATCCCCCCCCTGTAAACAAAACGAGGTGTTTGCAAGCAGAGCTGCTCCGCAGCCGGGGCAGCGCTCCCGTGCTCGTGTCGCGGCGCTGGAATCGCTGCGAGGCGCCGCTCCGAGCCACGGGACGACCTTGCGGGCGCTGAGCCATCGCTGTCCCTCCCTCGCGGGGGGCAACTGAGCTCGGGGCCTCCCCAGCGCCGGCGAAACACCAGCCCGGCGGCGTGCAAGGGGCTCTGCTCCCGCCGCGCTCGCTGCCCGGCTTCGGAGCCGACCGGAGGCGCGGAGGGCCGCGAGGAGGAGGAAGGTGAGCGCGGCGAGCGGCTCTGGCGCCCGCCGCTCACACACCCAGGGGCTGCTGCCGTGGGCGAGGGAGGGCCCGTCAGGCAGTACCGGGTCCAAAGAGCGACCCGCAGGGTCCTCGGCGCCTCTGCGGAGCAAGTCTCCTCGCTCGCACGAAGCCTCCTCCTAGGTTTTCTCTTCCCGCTCTGTTTTCCTCCTCGTGATGTTGCGCGGTTTGATCTTCAGCGACAGTTCCCACAAGGCCTCCTCGGCCAGATGGTCGCTGAAGTCGTTGAAGAAGGACACTATGTCGTCGTTTCTTTTGATGTCGTAATGTCTGCGGAACCAGAGGGAACACAAGAGCTGCCGTCAACCCAGATGCCACCCAGGAAGCTCTCCCAGCCTGGGGCCGCCCCTCCAAGGCACATCCAGTGCCACGAGCTGTCCTGCCCGAGCCAGACCCCTATGGCAGTGATGTGACACCAGGGAGCAGGGGGGTACATGCAGTGCCACCACCCTCATCCTGAGAGAGCGACTTAGACACGTGGCCTCTACACAAAAACAGCCTTAAGGGAAACCCTCCCTCACCAGGAGAGCACAGGAACCAGCAACGGCAAAAATAAGGAGGAAAAGCTGCTCTGGGAAGAGGAGGAGCGGGGAAACCTTACACACTTAAGGCTCCATCACTGTGTTGACTCCAGATTCCCTTCCCTTCTTCACTGCTGGCAGGTGCAACCCACAGCGGCAACGCCGAGCACCTCCGGCCCCCCTGGCCGCACTTACACTTGTTGGAAGCACCTCATGCTGTCCAGGATGTTGAACTGCTGCCAGCGCTTGGAAAAGTTCACTTTGCTGTCAATGTGATCTGGGTTTCCCAGGTGAACAAAGGTCAAGTCCTGCAGAATTAGGCCTCTGAAAGAGAAGAAAGGGTGACAGGCCGGGGAGGAGGTAAACAAGTCCAGAGGTTAGTCACGCACGGGCAGCACAGCCAGCCATAAGGCAGCTGCATATAATCTAATTGCCATCCTTAGGGTGGGATTTTAACCTTGAAGGGAACATCTCCTCCACACCCCTGCAGGAGGAAGTTTCTTCCTTCCAGGTTATGCAAAATGACTTTCCTCAGGTCGAGGCTTTGCTAGCAAAGCAGCCCGGCTTCCTCTCCCTCCCCTATTCACCTGCACAACCCTCCTGTGGTCCCCAGCACGTGAGATGCTGTGTATCTATGCAGCCTATATATGTCTCTTCCAATAGACTTTTTACCATAGAATTTTACCATAAACATTTACAAAAGGGAGCAGGATTCTCAGAGGAATGGTGGACAGAGAAATCCATCATTTTATAGCAGGGATACAACGCCACAGGGAAAGGGAGAGCATTGCCCAGGGATGTCACCCTGGTTTTCCCAAGTACAGGATGACTTGCACACGGGTTTGCCGTAAACACGTGGCAAACTGACGTGTTTCCTAGATCTAGGGTGAAAGTGAGTGTTTAGTGGAACAGAAGCTGTCGGGAAGTCACTTGGCAGAAGGAAGAGAGTCCCCAACTCACAGGTAAGGAATGCAGGGAGGCTCCACATCAGCCAGAGCGGCTCGGTAGGCTCGGAAGGACGAGGAGCTGTCGATCAGTGTGCAGTACTCAGCCAGGCCCTAGCAGAAGACAAAGCCCACGGTGGCAGCACTGCTACGAAAGCAGCCTCCTCAGCGACCTCCCCTCCAGAGACACGTGCAGGCTGGGGAGTTAATGCCACCCTGCAGACACCTCCAGTTGCTTTAATAATGTGAGCCCGACTGTGGACACAGAATGGCACCACTTTCAGCCCCAGCAAGCCTTCAATTTGCAGGGAGGGAGATGCTCTTCACTCAGCCTGTAGCTGTGCTGGCATTTCTGCTGCTGTCAGGATGCCCAGAAACACTGCAGGTTTCCAGCACCGTGGCATTTAACACAAGCAGAGAGCATTTTTCCACCTCCCCTCCACACTGGGACATCATCGAGCTGTTAAGATCTACCTAGATGTTTCATACAGGCTTTTTTCCCCTTTTTTTTCCCCCCTGAATATGTAAGTCCTTGCTGTTCCCTACCTCTGAGGTTTGCTTCTGCCACTCCAGCCTTCGGATGGGTGCAGAATCCAGTGCAGAAAGAATGGCCAGATAGGAATTAAAATTATTCAGCTTTCGTAAGTGCTGTGAAGAAGAACACCCAGTTACTCTAGAGATCTCCAAAGTCTTCTGGCAAGAAACAGCTCTGCTCACAGCAATGTTCCACACTCCTACCAGCCCTTCCCAGACAGTCAGTGAACAGTGTGTGTGATTCACAGCAAGAATCAAGCTGATACCTTCATAATCTTTATAAATTTCAGGAGCAGCCTCTCTCGGTCTTGGGCCTTCTCTTGCACCATAATTATTGAACGGACCCTGGAAGATAAAACAGAAAGAAGGATAAACCCACAGGGGCAGAATTCTGACCTCAGATTTCTTCATGTGCAAAATGAGTGGATAGACAATGCCTCCAACTGAAGTGCAGCATTTCAGTTGACAACAGAAATGGACTAATTTCAAGGATGTCCATGATGAAGTAACATCATCCTAAAGACTGAACTTGTGCCCTCCAAAACCCGCATGGTCTTCTATTACTGCCTGTGTTCTGGCTTCTTTGGAGAGTGTTTTGCATCTAGTCCCCAGCCAAAAATATACGCATGATGCTATTAAAAATTACAATCCTTGTAACAAGGGAACCCAACTCAAGGAGGAATCTATTGAACTCTAGGGCACTGGAGGTTAAGAACAGCTCAACATGACAGTCACTGCGATCTCCTTACCAGTAGGACATGTTATTAAAGTGCTCTGTAAACTGTGTCAGGTTGGGGCTCTTCTCTTCATTTTGCTCCTTTGCCCAAAGCAAAACTTCTGGTATCTGATAAGGAAGACACAGAGAGAGAGAAGTGGTAGAACACCACATTAAAACAGGATTTCTGCTTTACATTCCTTAGAGGCCATAGCCTTTTGCTGCCACAAACTCAGCTGTCTCCAGCAACACAAGAGGTGTGCCCGGAAAGCTGGCAGGGAGCAATACCAGAGATTGCAGAGGGTTTGTGTGGAAATCCCTGCCACCACCCTCACCCATCCTTGTCTCTCTACCTCAATTTTATAGAAGAGTTCGGCATCTAGGAGGGTCAGCTGCTCAGCTATTTCGTGACTGTGGAAATCGTGCAGGGTGCCCGGCCTGTAGGAAACAAGGATGCAACTGAGGGCTGAAAAACACGACTTGTTTTCTTTCCATTGTTATATTTTGGACTGTGAAAAGTGCTGCATCTGGACGTAAGCAATGCCTATCTCTCAGAAAGGTGCATGAGAGGTTTATGTGCACAACTCCTCACCTGGCTGCCACCCCACGAGCTGCAAGGGGCTTGGTGCAATTGGCGTATCTCAGCATGTTCTTCTGATCGACTTTATCAAGGATATTTTTGCGTAAGACTCTAGCGAGGCTCAGCTCCCCATTGCAGACTAGCCGGAACACCAGGTCCATCAGCAGCTTGAGAATTTCGTCTGTCAACTCCACTAAGCTGAGAAAAACACGAAAAGGCCAAGAATCAGAGCGATTTTGAGTTACGGAATTTGTATTTGTAGAGTCCTGTCACTCTTTCCCCAGAGCAGAACCAAATGACTGAAATTCCTCCTCTCCCCAGCAATTCTTCTACTAAAGAGATTCCTTTTGCACTGGTTATTCCTAAATCACAGATTCAGAGAGGACACACAGAGAACCTACTCTTTCAAAAAGGGGTTCCCTTGTGGCCATCATTGCCCCTTGGTCAAGGTAGAGGTTTCAGGTCCTCTCACAGATGGGGTTTAAGCAATGCAATGTTCACGGCTCGTAGACCTCTTTATTGTTATGACCCCGGATCTCCAACCCCTCAATGGAGAAGGCAACTCACCACAGCTCATCCACCACTCTCACCAGCACGAAGAAGGTGTTCTTACTGACTCGCTTCTTAAACGTGTCTGCGCAGTGGCAGAACTTCTCATATGTTGGTCACAAATTAAAGAAGCAACCTAGCATAGTCAGACTGACATCAGCACAACTAACAGCTACTGTGGGGAACATGAGAACAGCCAAATACTTGACTGAAACTGGTGTTCAGCTTCTGGGAGATATGGGACACTAACAGTGCTCTAATTAACCTGGTATTAAAATGCCACCAGGTGCAGGTAGCAGGGGTGTGAGGAGTTTTTACACCTTGCAGTATTCATGCTAGCAGAGCATTATGGCTACGGTGAAAGTTAATGAGCAGCTCTGCTCGACTGTGAACCCCCCACTGCTCTGTGACACCTCAGATCTCATCCCCAATTTGCTGCAAGGGGAACAGGACAGCAAAGGCTGAAAAACCTTGCACCAGGTGGACCAAGAGACTCAGGAAGTGGCCTGTGGGAATGCCCCAGCATGTCTCCAAAGCCAGAGGTCCCACTGCCAAGTGCTCCTCAAGGAGCTCAGCTGTGTCCTCGGCAGAAGTGGTGGCAGCAGGAGCGCGGGCTCCGCTGCAGGTGGCAGTGACGAGCTGTGACACGGGCAGGGTGATGTCAGGCTGCCTTTGCCATGTGCTTGCAGGGCCAAAGCCCAGGAGGCCTTTGCCCGGCCTGAACCGGGACACTGACCTGCTGGCAATAAGGAAGCCACCGCAGCAGGGCCAAAGGCAGGAGCTGCACGCAGGGCTGCTCCCCGTGAAGCAGTCTCCATACCTGGTGGGGATGCTCCCCTCTGCCTCGACCTGCTCCAGGTTTCCCACTTGGAGCGTGCAGGGAATCCTGGCTCAGCAGTGGGCAGGTTGGGTGCGACACCTCCATGGCAAGTGCGTAACCCACTGTGTTGCCAGCAGCCTTTTCTTGGCCTGAAATTCTTGCCAACTCCCTCCATGATAACTGCTCAGCCCTGACCCTTGAAGAGGCTGAACATTCGTGCAAAAGGATATCTGTACTGCAGCTTCTTGATGAGCTCTTCTGGGGTAATAAATGTCCTGTAGGTGGTCAGAAAGGCTTCACAGTACAGCACCAGATCTGCAGAGAAAGACAAGGAAGTGTCAGTCAAGCCTCCGTTAGAAAAGGAAACTCATTCTTTGGTTGAATCCAACCTCCCAGAAAGAGGAAGGGGACACAATGTGACAAAAAGGAGCTTTGCAGAAATGCTGCCTTGTTGTCTCTTACCAGCAGATGGACCCTTAGGCACAGCAGCAGCGGTGAAGCTGCCCTGACCGCAGTGGCCTGGCTGTTTCAAGCAGCCAGCCCTGCCTTTTAGCTTAGGGGCTCATGGAAGGGGGCAGTGAAAAACACCCTGTCTGTGGGTCGGAAACGTTTAATAAGAGGCCAAGGCAGAGTGTGCCAAGGGCTTTGGGGCTGCTCTAAAGGGAAGACTTTATTATGGGAGATGGGTGTTCGTTCCATGCTAAGTGCTTAGCGGAGAGCTAAGAACAGGGTCACTCTTTCCTCGTGCTGGAAATGACGACACGGTGCCACATCCCTGCTGCCCGGCCGCAGCGGAAGCCTCTTAGGGTCGTCCTGGTGCTGCCGGCCGGACACGACGGCTGGCGGGGGCTGTTGCTGGGGCTGGGGCTCGTGCCCTGTCCGCCGGGGCCATCCAGGCTCCATCCAGGGCAGGATGCCTGGATCAGCATGCCCGCGTACTGAGCATATGGAGCGTACGGAGACGCTTCCTCCTGCTGTGCTTCAACCAGAGAGCTGCTTTTAGTTAAGGACAACCGGAGCTAAGCTCTAAAGCCAGAGGTTGGGTGGTCATGTCAGAGGTGAGTCCCAGGCTGTGCCCGGCTGTAATCCCGAGCTCGGGGCAAGCGCGTGTGGCTGAGAGCACTTCGCTGACCATGGATTTTATACCTAAGGACCTTCTTCGATCCCTTATTCCACACAGCTCTGCTGCAAAACTCAAATGGACAAGAAGCATCGTGCAGCAGGGCGTGGAGCTGCATTTATTCTGGGTTCCCATCTGCCCAAAAGGCAACGTGAGGTAATACAGCTGGTCTGCTCTGGCACTCGAAGCTGCCAAGAAATTCATCTTTAAAGGGAAGCCTCTTAACTCTACCCCTCTGTGCAGTTTGGCTGATTGATTTACAAGCCCCAAATTCTTCCCATTGTGAGCTTAATTCATTAACCCTCTCAGTCACCCAAACAGTGGGCTAGCATAGCACAAATTCCTCCACGCTCCATTCAGCTCGACAGCTTGGCCCAGGATGGAAGGCTGCGCCCTGCGACTGTTCTGAGCAACGCACTGCTCAGATCTCCCTCCAGCCACCCGCTCTCCTTGCCCACGTTGCTCTGTATTGAAAACCTCGCTCTCTTGGGGCTTTTTTTTCCAGTCTTGAGAGGTTCTCTGCTGCTTTCACCTCCCTGTTTGCAACATCTGCAGAGCTGGTTGGTCAACGCACAGCAAGGAGCTGTCTTTAAGCAGCAACAGTGTGGAGGAACTTACTTATTCTGGGATACAAGAGTAAATCAGAGCTTCTCTATTCTATTTTCAGGTTTCTAAAAGGGGTATTTTTACCACCTTGACTTGTCTTTTTACATATCTATCCATAGCGTGATGAATTGTGCCCTTCTCCCTGCTATGTTCCCAGTTTTGGCCTTTTGTGCCTGGGCTGGATGCCTCACATAGCCAGACAAATATATCTGCCAGTGGAGGGGTTTCCTTTCCAGCCAAATGGTGCTGGTAAGCAGTTGCAAACACCTTATGCTACAGTAAAAAAGCTGCCATTTAAAAATACACATGGAATTTATTTCCCCTTTGACTGGTCAAGCCTCTAAAACAGCTGAGTGGTTCAGCAGGTTAGGGCATTTTGCTTTCCATCCCAGGAGATAGGGGGATGAGTTCTGGTTAAGGTCATCAGCACAAATGTGTGTGGCAGGTTGAGAGCTGCTCCTTGGGAATGCCACCAAGGCCACCTTTGTCACAGGTCTGGGAAAGGAGCTGCTTTGTGTGGAGGTGACCGGGTTTGGGGAGATAAAGAAGGGTTTTAACAGGTCACAAGAGGCTGTTTGCAGGCAGGGAGCTGCTAATGCAGCACTGTCACCTTCTCCATTGGCAGGCCTTGCTCTGCAGGTCTCAGCAAGGGCTTTAAGGGGTTAAAACCATCCCTGCTGCTAAGTGGAATGAACAAGTGCTTATCCAGATTACCTCTGTTTCACCAAAGATAAGCACAATCCCCCCCGCATCTCTCAGGATCATTAATGCCGTCCTCGGCAGCGTGGCCGAGCTTTGCAAGTGCTCACGCTACAGAGAATCAGCTTAAGAGCAGCCAAGGAGTCTGCAACTTGCTTGGGTGCATCCACTGTACCTTTCCTGTCGGTCTCTGTTGCGTGCACTAGTAAAATATCTCCGGACCCACCACGAACATCTGGCCCATCATCACCCTGTAACAAGAACAGAAACACATGACACGTAACCCCTGCTGCCTTTGGTCTGATTTGCCACCCCTGGGCTCCAAATTCAGTGTCAACGGGCAGAGCACACAGTGTTCCCAGCACTGCTCACAGCACAAGCTGGGACACAGTCCTAAGTGCTGGGCTAATCCTGCAATCTGAGGACAACATTCAATGTCCCAGGTGAGGATCTAGGCTAGTGCTCACTCGGGGTTGCTCACTGTGAAGTGCAGTGAAAGCTGAACCTTCTGCCCACCGAAGAAAGAGTAGAAATGTCCCAGACTCCCCGAGCTCCTAAAAGACTTAAAAGAGCAGGAATACTGTGTGAGTTGGCTCGAAGTGCACGATCACGTATCACAGCAGCAGTGGGGTGAAGGGTCATGCATCCGACTTCACTGCTTCTGAAACATCAAAACCCAGCAACTTAATTCCAGGATCTGGAAATACTTGGCTGGAGGTCACCTGAAGTGATCCAATAACCAGGAGCAGGAACCCGGGCTGCTAAGTGCTTGACCCCTGCCTTAACTGCTCTCTGAAAACTTTTGTTTTTTTTTCTAGCTACTGCATTTACTACTAAAATATGCAAAACTAATCTATTGCTTGGCCAGCGGTTCTCACGCTACCACAAACGGCTTACAGAACTGGAGCAGTTTTATAATGATTTAAATATGTTGACTGTAAATAAAAAAGTTAAGGACTAACACAGATGTGATGGTCCGAAATGTTCAGAAATCACCAATTCTAAAATTTATGTTAAGGGCATATTCATTCCTGCAGGGTAAATGCATTGACTAGAATCAATGTCTGGCTTCCCTTAGCAGTGTCTCTGTCATTTCAATATGCAAAGTACTGATAAAAAAAACCCAAGGATTTGCAGCCGTGGGGCAGCCACGTCTGAGACGTGATTTTATTGGGTCATCCTCTGGCAAGCCTCATGAAATACTATGAGAAATAGCTTCTTGCTCCCTTCTGTGCATCTCGGCTGACCAAAGAACACTCCTCGAGTGCCAGCAAATATATTCCCTCTGTTTTTCAGACCAGCCCCTGACAGTCTGAAAGGTTTGAGGCCTGCATCTTCCCTCTAGCTGCACATCAGAGACAGCTTGGCTCAAGAGGACAGCAAGCAAAGATGCCTGGGAGTGCACCCAAGGCTAGAAACCATTTCTCAAACACAGGAACAGTTACTTGGGCTGCTCTTCCAAAGCTGGGATCCGTAATATGATGTCCTACTGGGGAAAGCTGCTCAACCTGCTTTCAGACTGAAAGGCCAACACCATAAACCTCCACCTGGGCTTATTGTGTTTAGACTCTCAGGTTCAGGGGGGAGCAGGCTGGGAAAAGGGCACCACATGAGCTGGTTTTAGAGGGACATTGCACACTCTGTGAAGCCCACACTCGGTGCTGATGTTCCTTGCCTAGCACCTCACACTCTCACAGCAGTTTGCACATAAAGCTGTACGCTGTGTCTGCTATAATCTAGTTTTTCCCATTGTCTCAAATAAAATCTGATGCCTGTGCGCTCAGAGAGGTCAGATTTCAGCAGGTCGTAACTGAAGGAGTATGAAAGTGACCCCTGAAAGCACCTACCTCTTGCTTTAGCGTTAACCTCGACATAATTTCATTGTGGTCAATCAGGGACAGCTCGTCTACCTCTTCCTCCAGCTGTGACGATTCCAACGCATCTGGTGACTGCTGCTGCCTGGAAAAAAGGAACCAACCATCAGTGCCATCACCCGGAGAGGAGAGGAGAGGAGAGGAGAGGAGAGGAGAGGCAGGGTCCAGCCGAGCTCTCGGTGTTCAGACCTTCATTAATTTGCTCTGAGTACACAGAAAGTCTGGAGGTAAATCCTTTGCAAACAAGGCCAAATATCTAGCTCTAATTCTGTTGCTTTGTGTATCTCTTGGAAAGAAAAGAAGGATGAACCTTCAGGACCTAAAGACTTGACTTCGTGGATTTCTGGAGGATTTTACTATGACCTGCATGAGTATCTGCTTTTTTTAACCTGCCAAATTTTCAGTGCACACAAATCTAAGCCCTTCTTCAGATGCATAGAGATCAGGTATCCTGTACAGGCATGTCTTTTAGTCAGTTCACAACCCAGCTGCTACAGGGGGAGACCATCTCCCTTTCTTGCAGGAAGATACGGTGAAGAGCTCCTGCCACTTCTCCTTCTGCCCTGCCATGACCCTAGCACTCCTAGCCCAGAAGGGAAGTGCTCTTACGCCTGGGCACACGCTGTGCCTGGATTCCTTAAAAAATAAATAAATGAATGAATAAGTAAAATGCACGTGGCCTCCACAGCTTTCCCCAGCCACAGGCCCAAATCCCTTGCCCTGATCAGCATTTTTACTAGATCCTGAGCTTTGTAGCGCACTGCTGCATTGTCTTCTTCACTGCGGGGATTAAAACCCTCAAACCAGCTGTAGGCAAATGGGGGAGGGAAGTTGACTGTCACATACAGAATAATGCTCTGCCTTATTTTCGCTTTAAAAATTCAACTGAAGAGCAATCTTTAGCAGCAGGGAAGCACTCACTGCACTCCTACTGAAGCCCATCTGTTACAGTCTGCACCTCTTCATTTACATAGACAAACGATAGCTAAGAGCATTAGAGGGGATATAAAGGCTCCTGCTTCGGGGCCTCAGCCAGTCACTAACTAGCAGAGTTAGGAAGAAATTCCCTTCTGGAAGACTATTTCCCAACAGCAATACAGACTTCTCCCGCATGCTTTCCTGGAAGCCGGAGGGACCAGCCAGTGTCAGTGACAGGAAAGTCAATTACAACTAACCCAGGCTGCATTAACCCTTGCATTCCTGCTAGATTAAGCATTGCCACCTTGCTGGATCCTCCTTGTCCAGTGGGATCCCACCAGGAGCACAACACAGTGGGCTCAGGGTCTAGAGAACTTCAAGACGGTTGAATGCAAAACAGGAGGCAACCTAAGGGTTGGTGCACAGAGAGCTGGGCTAAAAGGATGTCAGCGATAATCTGCATGCTTGGAAGGCTGGCTGGATGGGGCAGGGAGTCAGGCTCACCTTTCAGCACCGTCTTTGCCTTCCTTCCCCATGGCACTGCTATTTGAAGTGGAGTCTTTGGAGTGGCCGTCTTTGATGGAGGGAGATTCCTGCAAAGAGAAGGAAGTTTTTCATTACTACATGGCATTTTGCACCACAGCTGGTCTTGCATTCGCAGCCTTACTGCCTATAAATGGCCCTTTACTGTAAATTCCACCACAGTGGTTAAAGATTGATGCAAGTTAATGCCAAATGCCAGGAAAACACAGAAGTTAATTAGACAGGAAACTTGGGACCATCTCGGGAGACTAGTGTAATTAGTATTGTTTGCTTTTAACATTGTGTAAATGATGCCCAAAGTTACGACACAAGTCAGCTGCTGTCTTGGCTTTTAACTCTTTCATTGCCCTTTTTCTTTTCCAGCCCTTGCTGTTGAACTACACTTGCCTTAGGCTTTAATCAGTGTGGTCAAAGCCAGCCCTAAGCTCTCCAGTTTCAGTTCCCCTCCTAGTTACAATCCCCAGAAGATGAGATGCTCTTAGTGGGTGGATGCAAGCGGACTTTTCTACCTCCCTCCATTCTCTCCTGTCCCAGGAGTTATGCAACGACGCATTGTTTCCACTCCACAATCCACTGCTGGGGGAATGATGCTAACTCAGAAAAGCAGAACCACCTGAGCCTGTCGCGTGGAACAGCAGGTAGAGAGCTCAAAGCAAACACAGGCACAGCATTTTAAACCAGCCATTCATTAAGAAGGAAAACAGGCACGAATGGTGGCCAAGGGGGCTATTAATCTAACAGTGCTAGAGTTCGGAGTGATTTAACATCATGCAGAAGGAAACCTAGCGAGAAGACAGAACTGCAACCACCTACATGTTACCCAGATTCAGCACTGATGAGTTTAGCTTTCTGTGGATTTCTTCCCAACTCTGTATCTGTAAAGCACTCGAGTTTCATAGTAAAGAGCCCTCCAGCTGCTGTGCAAAAGGATGGGCCTGCCCAGATGTGTCTCCTCAAGGGAATCCAGGGGAGCAGTTTCTCTTGGGCCACTAAAGTTTTGGTGAACATCCTGCAGGGCTGTGTCTTCCACGGTGCAGGTAGGTGAGGAAGATCCCCACAGCAGACAACCTTCTGCTCTTATTCTCCCCGGGATGGCAGGAAGATGGTGCCTCCTGCGATGGATACACCCTGTCTGCTGCAGGAAATTCCTGGTACATGAGCGCTGCGCCAAGGAAGAGGCATTCTCTGATTACAAGGCTAAGCCAATTACTTACTTTGAATCCAAACAGCGAAGGAAAAAAATAAAAATTAGAAGCAGAAGGCTTGTTTTATTAGAACAGGAAAGCCAAAGCAGATGCACGTACAGACAGGGCCCCCAGGCCTGGCCAAAGAGCACAGCTTTGTGGAACAGGAACCGCAGGCAAGCAGCTCTGACGGCAAAGCGCAAGGAAGGGTGGAAGGAGAGGCCGTCCCTACGTCCTGCCGGGCTCGGCAGAGGCTCGAGGCCGGGGCCGTGACACTGCCACCAAGTCCCCAGCGCAGAAGAGGCCGGTGGGAAGCGCGGGAGCCCCTGCGGGGACGCAGCATGCACCGAGCAGCCCCTTCCCCGGGCCTGGCCCTCTCCACATTACTTACTCCTTCCGAGGGAGGGAGTTCCCCGTTGCTTTGGCCAGAGGAATACAGATTGACGTATTCACCCTCACCAGCCTCCTCACTGGCGTTTTCACTCTAGGGGAGACAGGACGAAAGGAGATACGTGATGTTGGGGCCAGCCCTGGACGTTAGCGGGTGAGGGATAGGCCCCTGCGCGGGGACAGATGCTGCTGCTGCCTCCTAACAGGGACCCTTTCCTGCAGCTCCGCGCCCAGGCTCCTGCACCGGCCTCTGATGCTGCGCGCTCTGTTTTCCGCTTCTTGGGGGCTATCCGGGAGGCCGTGGGCTAGAGCGGGACAGCAGCAGGGGCTGCTTCGCAAGAGCTGCCACTGACGCACTGTGTGAAGGCACAAAACGCACGTGCAGACCTCAAGGAGGAATGACAGAATGGTTGGGGTTGGAAGGGACCTCTAGAGATCATCTGGTCCAACCCGCCTGCTCCAGCAAGGACACCCAGAGCGCATGGCACAGGGTGGCATCCAGGTTTGGAAGATCTCCAAAGACAGACTCCACAGCCTCCCTGGGCAGCCTGCACAGTAAAGACGTTCTTCCTCACGTGCAGACAGAACTGCCTGGGTCTCAACTCTAGGATACAGAAGCTGAAAATACAGTGCTTATCCTGCCAACCCTGCAGGCCAGAAAAGACCAAATGTGTCCCCAAACCACACTACAAAGCACAGCCTACAGCTCTAACACCAGCCTAAACCAAACTCAGGGGCAGTTGGGCTCAAACAAGGACCCAACACAAGGCAGACACCATGACATGGTCACGCGTGAAGCTGTGAGGAGGCGACTATCTCCTTGACAAAGCCTTTTCCTTTCCTTTCCTTTTCCAAACTGTGGCCAGAGCTACTACCATGGCTCGTGCTGGTGGCCCATCGATGTGCAAAATACACCAGGGAACTTCAAACTGGAGTGTCATCCTGATACGACACCTGCCTAATGCCACCAACACCTGATGCATCCCCGCAACATGCACGGCCACCAACACATGACTACGACCGCTGGTAACGGAGAAGAGCAGGAGAAAGCAACAGGTTTATTGCACAGCAGAGCACAGAGCTGGGCTGATCTGGGCCGCTCCAGGGGCTCGCGAGTGCCGGAGCAGGGAAGCACAGGAGAGAACCCCGAATGCTGGCAGGGCAGTGACTGCAGGCTGAGAAGCAGGGGCAGAGGCAGCCTTGCAAGTCCTTCCCTTCCTTCTGCAGATCTGTACTACGATGCATCCAGGGAGCTACAGCAATCCCTTTTCCTCTCCCTTTCACCAGCATTTGACATTCTAGTTTTCCTCCGTATGTGCTAATGGTTTCTCAGACCCGCTTGCGTTCTTCATTGTTTAGTACACAGCATTTTTATTAAAAAGAAATCACCTCTCTGTCTTCATACACGTGCAGAATCCTAACCCCATCGCATTGAGCTTAAGCGTGCATTAATGCAAGAGACATTTCTTTACAAACAAAACCAACCAGCCTTGCATTAAGGTGCGTTATCTCTTTGCATATTCTCACCGAAGGCGTCTGGAGAGAATCAGCGAAAGGGGTTTCAGAAGGAAGGCAGACAGGAGCATTCCCGTTAAAGCTGCTCTCCTGAGAAGAGGAGTTTGGCACATCCACAGTGCTGGGTGACGGGCCGGCTGTGCTTGGCACCGCTAGGTCAGAGCTCTGAGACGGATGCACGGGCGGAAAAGGAGGGGTGGAGCAGGACGAGGAGGTAGAAGACAGGAAAGGAGGGATGGAGACTTGGTTGTGAGGCACAAAGTCCTGGGAGTAGGACCTAAACACAGACTTGTACTGCGGCACGCGGAGGTGCACAACACAAAAACAAGGAAGATGGGGGAAAAAAAAGGGAGAAAGACAGACAAAAGAAAAAGAAATTAGATTAACAGCAGCTTAGCAGTGACAGCACAAGATAATTCTAACAGCGGCTCCTCGCTGTTGAGGGGCGAACCTGCACAGGACATTATTTTATCACCAGAGCAGCACTCGCTAGCTGGGATGGCAGCCAGTTTCTCCAGGGCAGGGCATGCTCTTGCACAAAAGCAGCCAGGGTGCCCATCTCCCAGCAGGCAGGGAAGGGGCTGTGGGGTATCTCGCTGCAGGTACCCGAGGCAGAGAGGGAAAGCCGGGAATTTCCACACTGCGAAGGGCAAAACTGCACCCTGAAAATCATGTGAGGGTGTGAGAACGTGCAAAAGGATATAGAAAGGCTGCAGATGAGCACAGTATGTATATCTAGGCAAAGTATTCTGAGTAGTTACTGCTTTTCCGGGATTTTCCACAGGATCCATGTTTAAGATGTCGTTTGCTCCAGCCCTGTAATTCAACAACTACTGCATTAAGTCTGTGCCAGTTAGGAGTGCCCGCACACTGCCCCCAAAGTCACACAGCAGGATAAAGGAGGCTATAACAGCAGACACTGCTATTCCTTCCCATTTAAGAAACTTTGGAAGCAAAATTGATAATTGCCCTCAGGAGCAATTACATCCTTATCAAACGAATCCTCCAATGTGGTGCCTCTCAGTCAGCTACGCGATGAAGAAAGATCATCTACATAAAGTTTTATTTCCCTATCTCTCCTAATCATCAGATTACTATTCAGATAATATTAAATAGGGTGCAGTGGAAGTACACAGCGCCAAGAAAAACAAGAAAGATTCTAGTTTCCGACATCTGGTGGTAGCAAGTTCTGCCATCAGGGTAATTCCAGCACAAGAACAGAGCAAAACTGACTCTTAACAACAAGAAAAATAATCCTAAACCTGATGGAGAGTTTATTTCAAAACGAGGGGAGCTCAAGCACTAGTGGGCTCTGACCAAGTGGCTGGAAGAGCCACCTCATGTAAAGAACTGCTGCAGCGAAGCAGTTGCTCCCGAGCGAGCTGCCCAAGGACAGCGCGGCGCAGAGCTGCTCCGACCGCGCTGCAAGGCTAAAAGGAAAGGGGACACATAGGCACGAAGCTGAAAATTCAAAATTTCTGGCTATGCTTGCTCAGGAGAGATGGGCAGCTGATGAACAGCAAGGCTGACAGCACCACCCCAAGCCGGGCGGCAGCACCCATGTTTGTAGTGGTATTTTACTTTTTCTCCCCAATTGTAGAAAGATGCAAGTTCATGCCAACTTAAAAATCTAAGCTGAGACCTTCCTCAAGCAAAAAGCTTTTGCACTCCAAGCTGGGGAGGAAACAGAAAGGTCAATAGCTGGACTTTACCTTCTACCACCCCACGCCTCGAGGGGCTCCCCTCCGCTCTGCAGAATCCAGCAGCTCCCTGTGTTCCTGGGGCCCAAAGCAAATTGCAGGCTGTGCTGTGATGAGCAGAGGGAGATACTTTGGGAAGAGAGCTTAAAAAAACTACTGAAAAATAATCAGGATGCAAATCCCTGCCACATGCCTGTGGCAAAGAGAAGCCTGGCAGCAGGATGGGCTCCTCTCCCTGCCTGCCCCTCTCTTCACAGACGGGCAGCCCTGGCTCTGGGGACACTGTCGGCTTTCGGTGCCGCCGCCGTGACAATGACAGCTCTAATCTCCCCATTTACTTTCTGCCTGGGTAAATACTCTACATATATTCATTTTCACTTGCATGGCACAAACCACTAAATCCCTCCTAAGGCTCCGGGCTCACGACATCATCTTGGCTCAGCAGATTCATTATTGCTGTCCCGTCTCCCTGCTGTTTCATGATCTCACTGGCGCTAACATGTCACCCGATGTCCCACGCTGCAGGCTAGACCCCAAGCAGGAACAGGAGCAAAGCAGATGGAGAACGTGTGCCCCTACCAAGCTCTCCTGCAGTGGCTCTTGTGAAGGTGCTTGGTGCATTGCTGTCTCAACAAGCAGTTCTTTTGCTCCAGGAAAGGGAAACATCTTCTTCAAAATGACCTAGGTCCCAGCTCCTCAAGAAATGCCCTTCACTTTGCAGCTCATGTACATCTTCCACAGTAGCGTTGGTATTTTAACTTGCTAAACCCAGAGGGAAAAAGCCAGGATTTTGCAAGAAGCAGTTAATTTGGGGCACAAGTGAAAGGAAATCAGTGGCCTCAGTCCGAGCCCCTTTTGCACAGCCCTAATGGACAACTGGGCGGTGAGAAACCTCATGAAGTTCAACAAGGGCAAGTGCAAGGTCCTGCACTTGGAGAGGAATAACCTCAGACAGCAGTATGGGCTGGGGACTGATGTTCTGGAGAGCAGCCCCGCAGAGAGGGACCTGGGCGTCGTGGTGGACAAGATGACCATGAGGCAGCAGTGTGCCCTGGTGGCCAAGGAGGCCAGCGGGATCCTGGGGTGCATTAAGAAGAGCGTCTTCAGCAGGTCGAGGGAGGGGATCGTCCCCCTACACAGCCCTGGTGAGGCCACAGCTGGAGCCTGTGTGCAGTGCTGGGCTCCCCAGGACAGGAGGGATGTGGAGCTGCTGGGGAGAGGCCAGCGCAGGACTACGAGGAGGATCAGGGGCCTGGAGCATCTGCCCTGTGAGGAGAGGCTGGGAGAGCCGGGCCTGTCCAGCCTGGAGAGAAGGAGGCTGCGGGGGGACCTGAGCAGGGTCTGTAGATACCCCAAGGGAGGCAGCGAGGAGGACGGGGCGGCCTCTTTGCAGCGGTGGCCACTGACAGAACTAGAGGCATCGGCCACAACCTGAAGCACCAAAAGTTCCCCAGGAACTTGAGGAAACATTTCTTGGCAGGGAGGGTGCCCGAGCCCCGGCACAGGCTGCCAGGAGAGGCTCTGGAGCCTCCTTCTCTGCAGATCTTCCCAACCCGCCTGGGCGCAGCCTGTGCCACAGGCTCTGGGTGAGCCTGCGTGATCCCAGATCTCCAAAAGTCCCTTCCAACCTCAAGGATTCTCTGATTCTGTGACCAGCAAAGCTTTCCCGCTGCTCAACAGCGCTGCCAGGGTTAGCTGAGGCCAAGGCCCTGCGGCTGCGCAGCTGACAGCACCGAGGCTGCTGCCTGCGCTCCCGGCTCCCGGGGATCAATTGCTGGGTAGGGGGAAGGAAAATTTGCACAGCTTCTGCCTTGGATTGTTTAGGAGACATTAATCCCAACTCAAAGGCAATTCAGACCTAAATACACCTTAGCATCGTATCAATTTGGGAAGTCTGAACATGGATGTCTTGCTGCCAACCATCTCTATACATCCTTATCTACCTGGTCTCATCAATACGCCTTTCAGAATTGTATCTTGGGGTGAGACATGCAGAAAATGGGAGTTTAAAGGCCAGCTACCTCCGAAAACGCACCAGTCTGCATTATGTGAGCCACAAACAAGCAGTTAATGATGCAAACACGCTCTCGGCACGCTGCTAGCAAAGGCAAACGGTGCCGAGCAGCTTTCGGTGCTCTGGCAATGATTAAGCAGGCTGCTCTCCCCTCCCAGCTTTGTGTGCCGCTGCATCTTGCAGCAAGCGAGCCAGGAAGCCCCCTCCTTCCCGCGGCAGCTCCACGCCACAGCCTGCAAGCAGCTCTGGAATTCCAGCTATGCAGGCACGCTGGGACAGGAGCCAAGAATGAAGCCTGCTTTGAAAGGGGAAAAAAACCACCCTGCGGTGGAGATGAGGTCCATATGGCACCCGCTCCTCTTGCTCCCGGTCCAGGGCGGCCCGCCCAGCCAGCAGCTGCAGCAGGAATTGCTGCAGTGGCTACTGCTGGCCTGGGGTGTGGGCACCTTTCAGAAGGCCCTTCAGTCCTTTAAAAGCCACATTTATTTTGGGAGGGGAGAGTCAGATTTGTCCCAATTAACCATCTCCTTCCCTACCCGCTCAAACTAAGTCATGGTTTATCTTGGAAACTAATGGGTGCTTGTTTGTCTCTGCTGCTTAGAAATTTCTTGCAGGGTCAGTAAGGATTTGGTTCTGGCTGCGCTGATACAGCCTCCTGCTCCCTGGTTTTGCTTATTTGCAAGCGAAGTGCTTCAAAATAATTCTGGGGAAAACTGGAGAGCAGGGTGCAATGGGATCCTTTCCAAACTCGCTGCCAGTGCCAGAGGATGTTTTCCCAACAGCAGGAAAGGAAGCACCAATGTGCCATGGCCTTGGCATTCCCTGCAATGAAGCTTTTGCAGCAGGTATCATGTAGCCAGGTAAGAAGAGCCTCTGCATCCAAGCCCTCTTGCAGACAACCAGCTCAGGGTCCATGTGGCTCCAATGATGATCCCTCTTCTCTCACCACTAACGTGGATTCTTTGAAGTATCTGCCACTTCAGAGCCACTTCCACCAAGTGCATTGAGAGCTAGGAGCAATCTCCTCTACAGGAGCAGCTTGTTTGGACCTGAACGTTCACCAGACAGCGAATCACTGAGGTCTTCTAGAGATGAAATCCTCTAACATTTTCTATTTATTGCCTTTGATTTCATTTATTTATTTATTTTTTTTTGCTATGGTCAGTGTTTTAGAACAGCCTTCCATCATTAGCAGTGGTGCTACAGGAAGTCCTGAAGGTCAATGACATTATGAATGTTTATTTGGCTTAGATAGCAGGAGATAAGTGCTCTAATAGAAAACTTATTTCATGAGTGACTTTCTCTACATGCACTAGGCATGGCTGACCACGAGAAACAGGGAGGCAGGGAGGCTGACTGCGAGCAACAGTCGGCTCCATCCTAAATTCACACTTGGATTCAATCAAGTGGCTGTCAGAACATCTGCAGCATCAGCAGACATAGCCAGTCCTCACCTTTTAAAGCACACTGACTTCTCTTGCCAAATTTATCCAGATCAGATAGAGCATTAAGACTTCTAAAACACGGTGCTATCAGAGGAAAGGATCAATCTTTTAGATCTCTTGGTAATGTTATTAGGAGACAGTCGTGGGCAACGTGCCAGAACTGGATGCCCAAATTCAAACACTGGAGAACTGTGTTCACAGAACACTGGGCGTTGCACGAAGCCGTTGCACCCTAAGAACATAATTACACAGGCAACTTTTGGAAAACACTTCTTATCTCATGACACAATGCTGGGCTTCCAGGTACTTTGGCTAATGAGGAAGGAAGTGCTCCTGCAATGAATGGCTGGAAACGCAACCTGCCAACAGAAAGGCTTCAAGAGCTGTCACAGGAAAGGCAGGGACTCCTCACGCTTCAGGGTTCCTCAGCAAAGCCCCTGCCCTGGCTGCACTGCTGGCCTCACTATTTTTAACTGCTGGTTAGTGTAGCAGAGGGAGAGATGGGGCTTTCTGTCCCCTTGGAGCAGGGTCTCCTGCCTGAGCTGCAAGGGAAAGCAGAAAACAAGCAAATTTCTTTACCAGGAGGGTTTCTGGTACCTCTTTGCAAAGCAAAGGAGTGCTGCAGACATTCGTAAGACTCAGTAGATGTGCTGTTTCAAAACTAGCAGGAGAATTCAAACGGCTCCCAAATATAGCACTAACTCCTGTTTATCTTGTAAATAATCCCATCACACTTAGCAAGCTGATCTTTAAAAAGCAGAGCTTGGAGACAAGGCAAGACTCCTAACAAGTCAGTCACACAAAGAAATCTGGACTGGGGCCTACAAAGTAAATAGGAGAAGTGCTTAGAGAGGTCTGCATAGAGACTGACAGTGCTCTGACTGCAGGAAAAAATCAAGTTGCTGGCAGAAACGGTTTTCAAAAGCAGGATTTGGCGAGGCCAGCCTCAAGAGCACTATTAATACCAGCACCAGGCCTGGAAATAAACACCAAAGTAGGAGGAACACAAACAGGAAAGGCAAACAATACTTACAACTCAACAGCTGATTAAACGCATGTAAATGCCTCCCTTCTCCTTCTCCCTGCTCCAAATTAACGAGGCGAATCCTGCTTAAGACAGAAATGAACTCACAGCCCGTGATCTTGGCTTGACAGCAGCTCCCACCATGGGACCACCACACGTTCCCAAATCACTGCCAGCCTCTGCTGCTGCAGCAGCGAGGTGGGAAATATGCAGAGCACGTGTGTGAATCGCGGGTGCCTTTAAGCACTTCTCCGACCCTCCTTTTTCTGAACATACGCTAACATGCACAGAAGAAAGAAAAGCAGTTGCTGTGGATTTCTGTGCACGCGCTCCACTTGCTGAAGAGCAAATGAAGAGCAAATGAAGAGCTGTCCGAATACGGACAGTGTAAGCCCTGAACTCACGTTTTCCTAAGGAAAACATTTGCACCTTCTGCTGACGTGGAGCAGCCAGGTTGGGTTCTGGAAAGATCCTGGAATGTTTATGAATTAAAAAGAAAATACAGGATAAAACAACTCAGAGGGTGAGTGAAGGATCCAGCCAAGTTTCCGCTGGAGGCGTGAACAAGCCTCGGGGAAACAAGTGTGCTCCTTGTTTCGGAGTGGAGAAGCTTCCTAGCTGCTGAACGTGAGGATTTTGGGCTCTCCATGGGGAAGTGTGTCCTAGCAATCCGCCTCGTCTCCGACTGCCTGCTGCTGCCAGCACACGGCTCCCTGCCTTCTGTGGCTGTGTTTGATGCCTTCGGGTACCTGCCCAGGCATTCCCAGTCAACTGCATGTGGAGTTAACGAAATAAAGGACACTATCTCCACCTTTGCAATGAGAAATAAGGTGACTTGCTAGAGAAAACGCCACTGCAAATAATTAAAAGGAGGATGTCTTCTTAGAGTATACCACCTTTCACCCCATTCAGCAACAGAAAGCTGTTTAAAGAGAGAAGAGGATCCCTAAAATGACAATGCAACCCTGCTGAGCCTGTCCCACTGATGCAGGATCTGAGGATCTTGGCATGGGATGAGCAGGATGGTGCAGAAGCTCCTCCAAGCCTCAGCCCACACTGCAAACACGACCCTTGCTGGCACGGAGCCTAGATGGGAATCAGGCTCGGTGAAAAACTGCCTCCACTTGCCAAACCAATGGGGTTTGATCCAGTTGCTCAAGATCTGCCTCTGTCCGGGAAAAGCTATTCCCTCTGACAGCATTTCCTGCAAGGATAGGGAAAAAAGCACCATTAGTGGCTTGCCAGAGCAGCGGTGGCTTCTGGACTGCAGCAGTGTCTGCAGCTTGGAACAGAAGGCAAAATGTCTGGGTTCTGGGGAAAAAATCATATATGGCAAATTAAAAAAGAGCAAAGGGGCTCTGAATTCTACCTCGTTTTTGCTTCAAAGCACTAGCACTGAGACCCTGTAAATCAGTAGTGAGGAGCTATAGTCCTTCATGTGGAGTATGGACACGGTGGGCTAAGGACAGAGAGGATAGAACAGGCTCAGCCGTCCTGTTGCCCTCCCACGACCAGCATGGGAAGGGAATAGGCATTCCCACTGGGATTGCATCCAACTGTTCCTCAATCCAGGTCGGGCTGCAGGGAAGAGACCAGCAGAGGCGCGTGCTGGACTGGGGCTGTGCTCGGGGAACGCGTGGCGCGCGGCTCACCCGCAGCTAATGGACAGCCATTTCATTTCTTTATTAGCTTGGACTTCCTGCTATTGATTGAAGGAGCCTTTTGCTTCACGCACAGAATGGACAGAGATTAATGCAGGCAATGGATCACTTTAAGAGATTTGATAATTACCATTGATTATCTTGGACGCCCACTCCTCAGCTGGCTGGCACGCAGCAGCTCTGCTGTCCCTAGCATTAACTCCCTTGCTGGAGCAAGAAAGACACTGCTGATCTTTTAGCAGGTTTATTGTTCACCACGGTGCTTACTTGAACTTTCTATGGTCAGAAACGGAAAAAATTAAGCCAGGAGATTGGCAGGAGAGCAGAAAAGAGCATCATGCTCAAAGCCTTCCCGGCGCTCCATTCCTTGGATGACGATGCTCCCTGTGAAGGCTCCAGAGCAGGTTGCAAGAGGGGATCTCGCCCCTGTGAGCGTGGGGATGGAGGGTGTCACCCTGGGAATGATCCAGGCTCCAACAGCTGGTTCACATTGCTGTCTTATTAGGGAGAGGGAAAACGGGATCAAGCACTGTTACGGAATTATGTGGGTCAGCTAGGAAGCATGTAAGGGCATTGGTATTTGGCAGCTCGCAGACAAAGAGACAGTGTCAGAGCAAAAATCTCATTTTTGTCTGTGAAAAATGGACCAGCTCAAGTGATGAGCAACTACAGCGATTACCATAATTTAAGGGCATTAATGGAAAAAAAAATGCCATTTTTAATTCAGCTTATTTCTTTTATGCATTTGACAGTAGTTGTTTTCATTGTTCCTTGTGCTCTAGTCATTTCTTTCCCACAGCCAAGCCTTGCAAAAACACATAAGGATTTTATAATGAAGTTTTAACATTTCATAAAATAATATATTTAAAATAATATTGTTCAAAGCAAAATGAGAATAGGTCAGAACAGTTAAGCATGCAGTAACCAGTTAAATCTAACCAAGACTCTAAAGTGCCCATGTTTCTTTAGATCATAATAAATACCATATTTATAACCTTTTAAAGCAAAATAGTGAATTGCTTTTTACCTGCTACAGTTCTGTGCTTTGCTCATAAGGATCATTATCAGAGAGCTGCATAATTCATTTTTTTAATTCTCTTTTTCCTTGCAACTTGCTTACCACAGATCTAGGCAAGTCCACTAACATTCCCAGCCCTCAGCCCTTCCATCTGTGCAACAAAATTATGATACTGCTCTTTGTCATTCAAGTGGAAGCCAATGCTTTAATTCACTGTTGAGGAAGTAACACTGCTTGTAAAGTACTTGAATATTTTCTTCTTCACACCCAGGGCATACCATCGTTGCCACTAATTTTTAGGGAATTAAGTGTTGAAATGGGAAGGCAGCAGTGACACAGTGAGATAAAACAGTTTTCAAATATTCAATATTAAACGAATTTAACACTTCTGAATTGCCCGAGTCTTGTCTGGTAATTTCCTCTCCAGAAGCAGTCTAATCTACTAAACATCCAGGTCACTCTTAAAAATAGCCTGTTCTCAGTCATCAGCGTGCAGGCTTTAAGAGCATATAGTTTGATATACAAACACGTCCCATTTTGCTGGAATCTCACAGCTAGGTTTGATTTCCTTATATGTTTACACTTATCCTTTATTTAAGCTGCTGATGACTGATTTACACAGTGCTTTAAGATTATTCTGATCTTGATTTCAATCATTCTCAGCCTCTCCTGTGCTCTCCCTTCAGACCCTGCAAGAAGGGCTGTGCAAGAGAGAAACCTCTGCTTGTTCACCAGGAAACGACGGAGGGTTATTGGGCCTTTTTGGGACTGCGGGGACATGAAGGGAAGCAGACAAGCAAATACGAGATGAAAGAGCTGGCAGAGGCCACTTTGTAGGAGAAAATCGAGGAGCTGTAGCTGCTCTTCCACACATTTGCCTGTGCTGCAGCGATAGCATCTCCTCATTCCTAAAAAGGCCAGATCCACCCAGCAGCATTTAATTGACTCGTCCACATCACTGACACTGTGTGCTCGAGGAAAACCAGCGTGCAGCTTGGAAAACTACTGATTCTTACTTGGTTTATTGCTACCGGGTGAGTCCAAAAGCCCTTAAGCGACCTTATTTATTTACCTGGAGAATTTGCACGGGAGCAAATGTCACGAGCACGAACACACGCCCGGGTTACAGCAGCGCGGAGAGCAACTCACCGAATGCACAGGAAAGGAGCTGTGCCGGTTGAGAAAGGAGTTAGAGACTGACATAGTGAGGCCCTGAGTGGCACCGGTGTCCTCGGGGCTGAAGGGCACTTTAGTTTGCTGGACACAGTAGGAGACAGAAGGGAAAGAGGAGGCAGCATAGGAGGCCTGCTGAACAGGGGAGAGAAAGCAACAGACAGAGGAAACAAAGGAAGAAAGCACAGAAAAGGCTGTGAATAAAGGGCAAGAAACGCTAGCGGTAAAACAATGCATATAATGCCTCGCTAAACAGGCAGCTATTCATACAGTTCGCAGACTTACCAATATGCCCATCTGCAGCTCAGGAGGCAGGATAAAAATCACACTTCAAGCCCCCTTTGTTTCCCAAATCCCTTAAAAATAACTCCCACCTCCTCCCTTCCAGGCCCTTGGACAGCTGGTTCCCCGGCCCCTTCTCCCTGTGCCATGGAGATGCCCAAGGCAGCAGGTACCGCAGCAGGAGCTATGGCTCTATCTATCTATCTATCTATCTATCTATCTATCTATCTATCTATCTATCCATCCTTTAGACTGGAAACTGGGGTCTTTCCGGTACGATCTAGGGGACTTCGCTGGTCTTGCAGAAATGTTTCAGTGCACATCACTGCTTCACGGTCTCACTCGCAGGAAAAGCCTTTTAAAATATTATTTTACACAGAGGAGGCCATCCAGCAGAACTAGCCTACTGCTAGGAGGGCCATCGCCCTCCGTGTCATTTGATTTTTCAGCAGGGCAGCCAGAGCTGAGGAATATTCAGGTGGTGGCTTTTGCAGGGCTGGCAGAATGAGCCGCCGTCCGCTCACGCCGCGTCCCACATGGAGAGCGGGACACGTGGGGAAGGCTGCACTTTGGGAAACCTTTGCTTCAGGGCAACCGCAAGCACCACCTTGATGGTATCAGCTTGGAAGACGGGAATGCCCAGCAGGCAAAACAGTGACATCTTGAGCTGCCCAGGCAGTGATTAAAGGACAGAAAAGAAATGCTTTGCTTCGGCTGAGAAATTCACAAAAGGAGCAGATTTTCTCCCCAGAATGATGGCAACTATAATATTACCTAATTCTCATGACCTGGCTTGAAATTTATGCTTTACATACCCTCTTCTCCTGGCAAGGCAGACCAAGTCACTGTCACTCTGCTACAAGAATATAGTCAACTCTGTAGGAGCAGGAGGCTGGGCAAGGGATTACACACAATGTCCCAGCACAAGGATCACGCTGACAATGTGAGTAGGGACTCTGGAGAACTGGGTGATCCTGTGGAGCAGAGTCCTGCGGGCTCCTTAGTGCCCTTGCAGAGCAGATGGGTCATGGGCATTCGAGGTCTCAACACACAAAGCAACAGGGCATAACACTCAGACTGGCTTAGCCTGAAACAATTCTTTATGTTTCTAGGACTCCCACCTGTGTCACAGGAATGCAGGTACGTGAATCCTGAAATTAGAGCTCTCAGTTACTTTCCCAATTTGACTAAAAGTAACACCTATGAATTTCCATTTGCAGAGGGCAATTAGTATTCTCATCAGATGGAAGAGAAGAGCTAGGGACTAATCAAAGCCCTGGGATGTGCAATGGAAGAGCTGCTGCTAGAACAACTCCACCATCTCCCACTACGACAGAACTGTCAAAGAGAGGTTAAATCCTGAACCTCACATGGGGAAAAACATCTATAAGTTAAATATTGGTTATATATAAGTTAATAATATATATCAGTTAATAAAAACTGTGAAATATTGGCCATACCAAAGTTTTGTGGCTCTGGGGAAGATTGAGTCAGATAAGCAACAATTATGTTTAAAAGGTTAATGGCAATGTCCTTAACAACAGTTTTGGGGAAAATAGTGCAGCAAACTCTTAAAAAGTCTGTTTCTCAGAGTGTAACAATCTTGGAAGCAGCTGTTTTTGTACAAGGCAGTGGGTCTGGCACAGATTCACCATGGGCAAGACTCGGGTTCTGCTTCCAGGGCATCTATGGCACTTACAGAGCTCATAGGGAATTGCCTGCATGGAGCTAGGAAGCAGATGATGCAAAATGCCTAAAAACATCTTAACAAGGTGACAAGGACCACGCTGTGGATAACACCTCCCTGTTCCCGGGAGGACAGTGCACCCTGCCTGGCCAGGGCCCTGCAAATCCACTCACCAGCTGCCGCTGCTTCGGTGGGAGGGCAGGAGGAGGCGCGAGATCCTGTGAAGGGTCTAAGCTGATAAAGGAGTCATTGAACCCATAGACTTCCATGAGGTGCTTGTTCTTCTGCTGGTAGATGTGCTCATTCTGAGGCGTCTGGTAGAACATGGAGGGCTGTGGCTCTGAGTAGTCTTCCACAAACTGCATATATGCTGTCACTGTAACACACAAAAAGAGATTTCACTCACTCATTCCCAAAACAACCAAACCAAGTGGTTATTTTTGCCACCTTTCTCGCCATGCTCTGCTCCATGCCCAGAGCAGGAAGGCATCCCTGCTCTGCTCACAGGTCATTCACACACTAATTCTCCATCTTGGAGGAAAATCTACAAATATCCCTTCCTGCAAGACAGAGCACACGGGAAATAATCACAGACCACACCAGACACTTGGCAACAGCTTTGCTTAAACCAGCAAGGTCTCCAAAACCTTTCTGAGCAGCTTGATCCACTGACTCTTAGCCCAAATTCCTTCCTCACAATAACCCACGGCAATTTTGAAAACCCTCCTCAACAGCTCATGCCCAAAGCCTCCCATCAAAAGAAACACAGCCACTGCTCTCTGCTTTCTAGGAAGCACAAATCACCTTGCACAAAGATGCAACCTTGACAACAAATAACAGTTCTTAAGCCTATAATAAGCCTCAAATCGGCAGTCAGCAGGATTGCTAGCACAAGAGGATTTACAATCTTCTCCTTATCAGAAAACACCTACCTGGGAGATTGTGTGTCTCTCCTGCAGCTGTTTAGATGCCATGGCCAAAGTTGGCCCGTAAGTCTGGCCGTTTCAAAGCTCCTCTGGCCATGCCATCCTACTTCACTGACACAAATGCAAACACAGCTAAATATCCCCTGTTAAACCATCTCGGCATCTCTCATTCTGCCACTGAATCCAATTGATTCAAAGGCAATTCCACGATTGACACCCAGTATCACAGAAAGACCCCAAAGCCGTGTGCTTAAAGATCAGAAATGCAACTAATAAGTACAAAATAAATAAATAAGTCTTATCTATATCCCTGAAAACAGAAGCAAGAGATGCATTAAAGTGTTGTAAAAGGGACTAACTAGGGTCTTTCTGCAAACAGGCTCTCGGGCAGCAGGTATCCTGTGATCATTGCCCCTGTTGTTAAACAGGCACTTGTCAGGTTTTGTAAATCTGGTCATTAGGCGGCAATTGTTCAGCTCCAGTTGTACCTGTCAGTTGTACAGCTGAAATGAATGGATGGCTTCAGGGAGGGCTATAAATAAGTGCTCACGATGCAGCACTTGCGCATTGTGAAGCTGCTTCCCACACTCGCTGCTGGGCAGAGCAGGAGAGAAGCTGCAGCCCGGGCAGCTTCAAACAGGATGCAGCCGTGCAGGAAGGAGCTGCTCTGCACCTGCCTTTGGACCTTTATTTTGTTCAGATTTCCTCTAATATTTTTAAGTCCATGTAGAAATGGAGCTAGCACAGCTGCTCCTTCCCACAGAGTCACATCTCTCCTTCAAAAAACAGGCTTTTTCTTTTTTTTTTAAGGAGGAAAAAACCAAAAACGTGCCCCGGCAATGAGACTGCAGGAAACTGGGCTGATATATTGCAGTCCCAAGTGGTAACACCTGCTCTTCCCACCGCGTGATCCCGCACGGGGCTGCCGCTGGACAACCTGTCCCCATCTCGCTGCACTGGCAGCTCCTGCTGAAATTCTGTCCTTTGGTCCCCCCCTGCTAGCTGAGCCTGACACCCGGACCTGGAAAAACACCTTGATATCACAGGATATCTCTCGAGGAGACATCTCTCTTGCAGCAAAAGTGAACTGAGGATCAAGAGCCCTTGGGGACGCACGGAGGACTGGAGTTTGAGAGCACAGCTTGAGATCACATCATTTAAGCGGGACACAAGCCAAGCAATTGGGCTGGAAATCTTGGCAGGACACATTCCGACAAACTCTGCAGATGGAGTTACCTGCTAAAACAAGCACTACAGGTGATGTTCAGGTGTTAAGATGACGTCCAGGATCAATATGCATGAGCATAAGACAATACATAAGGCTATAAGACTATGCAACACCATAAATACGGGAAGCGCTAGTGAAAAGGGTAATATTTTAGACATTGGGTAAAATTAAATGACTGCAACTCAACGTAGCGAGCCTGAACGCTGCCGAGGGCCTTCACTCAATCTGCACGGCAGTAATGAAGAGCTCTTTTATCTGAGCTCTTCGTGACACTGATGCCTCCCATTGCCATGGCAGCTCCTTGCCTCTCGTCTGCCAGAACTAGTCGAGGGCAGGTGAGCGCTTCCCTGCTCCGGCTTTGTGCTCCTCCGTGTTTTCAGGTTAGGTTGGGGTGGGGAAACACAATCCTGGCTCAGAAAGAAAGACTGCAGAGCACAGATTAAAAAGGGTATCATTGAAACAGTCCCAAGCTCAAGCAGGGGGGCAAGGAAACAGAATCCCCTCACAAGGGCAGTTTGCATGGGGGTTTTCTCTCTCCCTCCCCTCTCCATCCCCTCCCCAAACTGCTGTGTTTTTGGGGAAGGCAGAAATTCCCAAAGCAGATGGGAAATGACACGATGGATTGGAGGCTGCAGCCTCCGTGAGAGCAGCCTTGATGGCAGCGCCCCGGGAGGGAAGGGGAGAATCCTCTCCCAGCACAGCATTGCGCCCAGCTTATGCAGCAATGAAACAGGGCAGGAAATGTAGAGGGAGAAAAGAGATGTGCCTGTGGCCAGGAACACCTTCCCAGCAACTGCTTGCAGCGTCTTGGATGTCATTTCTGGAGGAGGTAAAGCTGCCTGGGGATTTCTGTGCTCGAGCAGCTAAGGTCACATGCTGAAAATCACAGGTTTTGCTCACGCTGCAAGAGAAGGGAGTCAGTGGCTGGTGAGTTCTGCAGCCAGGGAGAAGGGAGAAGGGCACCGAGGAGCTGCCCACCATGAGAAGCCACCCTTGGAGCAGCGGGTCTGGGGACTGGAGGTTGCTCCTTGAAGGCTGCCAGCCAGAAGGAGCATCTGCACCATCAGCAGGGCACGAGGAGACCTCTTCCAAACAGCTCCCATTAAAGGAAATTCTTCCAAAGAGCTCCCATTAAACCCTGGCTAAGCCCAGCCTGCCTCAGTGCGGGTCCTCCAGCTCAACACCAGCTGCTCTGGGGGCACCGGGCTGCATTTTGTCCCCTGTGACAGGGACAGGGACAGGAGGAAACGCCTCGCCGCTAGTTCACATGCTGTCTCGGGAGCGGATCCTGTTTTCCAGCCCCAGCTGTGGGCTCTCTGCAGCAGAATCTGCTCCACGTCTGTGTCTTGTAGAGCAGGAGCTCAAGTAGAAGTCTGGAACAATTTGCCATTAGCATAGTAACATGCACTCTCACAGCGCTGTAAAATAATAATTCGTGCCAGACTAGACGGTTTATCACTTCCCTGCTTGAATTATACAGAAGATGACGCTTGGAGGTCCCTCTGAGCACAGCTCCCAGTAACACACACGCTTAACTCTGGCGGAATTTGATGTATATTATTAATAAAAGCACCGTGTAAGTCTCCCCTGCAACATTTCCTGCCAGCCAGCCAACTACCAAGCGATGGCCCACAACAAAGGGACCGCAATCAAGTCGTATCTGAGAGAGCTCTAGATATTTTAAATAATTTCATGCGTGCACACAGGATCCCAGGATTTTGTGAGCCTCACAGAAGGAGGGATACGGAAGCCACTGCCTCATGTATGTGATCACACAGGGTATCTAGAAGCATCACTTTGTAGGCCAAAGCCAAAAAAACCTGGGTGCTATGGTACAGTCTGTGTAGTGCTTTACTGCCCTTCTTAAACTGAAACTAAAAGCAAAACTAACAACCACAGATCTGCGGTGTGATACACAGCAGAGTGAAGACAAACTAAGACATTGTAGTGTCACATGAACGCAGGCAGAGTGTCTGCAGCAGTCAGGTATTAGCCCAACTATCACTACAGGCTTTGCACCAGAGACCCTTTATCAAATCATGAGAGTTGTCATCAGTCAACCTGATGACAACACGTTAGGGGATGTCCTCTACTCCCCTAACAACGTGGCCTCTACCCCCCTAACTGAGCAATCCAGTCAATGTCCTCGGATGGGGCTGGCTGACAAATGACAGTTATCTCTATTATTAACATCAAAATAAATGCACATGAAATACGTGGCTTGGGGGGTTACAACTGTAAAGGAGAAGTAAATTTCTCCTGTAAAGGAGAAGTAAAGGAGAAGATAATTTAAAAATGTTTTTAACTCCTTGATTTCGTAAAACATCTCATCTGCATCACATCCCCCTTCAGTGCTACACACAGGTACTTAGTGCCACAGAAGTCACCACAAGCAACCCTTGCTACAGACTGCACCATCTTCATTGTCTCTCTGTTGCCTACAAACTAGCATCTTAGCTCCTTGCTATTGGCTTTAATTGCCTTTTCATTATTGGCTTGTTTTACTAACCAGAGAGAGAGAAAAGTGATTTCCTGCGCATAGGGACTCTGATCACTTTCAGATTGCTCGGGCCTTGTGGTCTGATTAAAATTCTGGAGAGTTACAATTGTGGTCTGGCCACCATGGCATGGTATTCGCTAGTGGAAATGCTCTTAGTCAATGCCCTTTTTAAAAAGTGAATGGCACAGGAAATGAGCAGAGGAATGGGCAGAATACTGGCTTGGAGGCATGACACACCAACCTCACTTCCAGCTTTCTCCTGGGCAAAAAGACGACAAACTGCAAAAATGAGTCACAGGGCCAGCTCAGCACTTATTAAACGAGCTCTTCACTTGGGCTGCCAGCCATTCAATTTAATACCCTCGATGCAGATCTTGTAGGTGCTGCCTCCTCGTGCACTGTACAACTGGTAAATTAGCCAGGGACTGGTAAATTAGCATTTGCTGGATCCCACGGCGCCGTCCACCGTCTTCCTTGTCGGATCAGTATGACTGCTTTTTTGGCAAGAGCATTGCCATATTTTTAGCAATGAACATTAAGGAAATCAGAGTCACATCATGAGCTCAAGTGGCTCTGTTGTGCCAGGAGTCTGGCTGGGGATGGAGGCTTTGCATTTAGAGGCTGCTCATTTTAATGATGTGGGAAATTCTTAGGCACGGAGCGGAAATGAGATCCCATAGCAAACCAGCAGTATCGGACACTCTGCTAACGGTGTTGTCTTGCACAACCGTGTGGGTGACTTTGTTCCAACTGCCAAATAACTGCACTGGCAACGCTCAGTTTTGGACAGAAAAAACAGCCCTTTCTCTGAGCTCTTGGAAAGAACTCAAGTTTTTTTTCTGCAGTGGGAAAACATTCATAAAACAGGGGCAGGGGGAAGCAACAGCATAAAAAAAGGAGGGAAAACCAGGAAGATTTGGAAGGCAGAGTGCCTAAGTTTCACACTCAGGCAAAGCAAAGATGTTCTCACTACAGTAATGAAGGTGCTGCATGTTGCCAGTTCCCTGAGCCTGGACCATTCCAGGCTCCCAAAGTCACTCACTGCCCAGCCGACCTACACTTCCCTTCCCCTTCTTTGACACTTACTGGGAGTGATTTTTGATCCCGTGTGAGCAAGGACATTACCTTGGGGTCACCGGTACTTAGTGGCAATCGGAAACATGACAATTGCAAGAAAAAGGGTAAAAAAGCAAGAAAACATCCCAGATCCCAAACCAACATGAGCACTTGCTTACTGTGTTTGTTTTTCTTCTCCGGCAGAGGTGGTGGCTTCTCTGGGTCACTGGTAGAATCGGGAGCAGCAAAGTTAGCAATGAATTCAGCTGGTGCTGAGGAGTTTCCTTGCTGGAAGGGCAAGACAGCAGCGAACGGTGTGAAGGGCACTGAGAGGACAGAGCCTGCATTCTGCAAATCATCTTCCGAGATGTTATCGTATTGTGAAGGGAGCCTCTCGTAGGAGACCTTGCAGCCCGAGCTGTCGGCAGTCTGCGAGGCCGCGCTCCTCCTCTTCTTCTCCGGTAAGGCCGGAGGAGTCTCCGTCGGCTGCGCTGCTCCCGTCAGGCTGCACAGCTCCAGCGGGGGAGAGCTGCCCTGCGGCAGCTGGAACGTGTGTCCATGGAAAGGGGAGCCGGACTCGCCCAAGGACTCCGGCAATGGGCTGAGGACACCGGGCACCTGCTGAGGGATCTGGTCCGCGTTGGAGAGGTCCTGCTGCAGGAACTCGTAGTCCGGGTCATAGTGATCTGACTGATCTGGTTAAACACAGAAGACAGGGCAAACTTGCATTATTTTCTCTCTTCCGGCCTCTCTACTTTCCCTCTGTTCAGCCTTTCTCAGTTCTGCCCTCCCACTCCATCAGCTAATTTATTTATTCAGTTATTTAATCAGCTAATTTAATCACAGTGCCAGCAGGTTCCTTGCAGCAGGAACCATCTTGCCACACCTTCCGGAAAACTAAGATAATTTATAAACTAAGATAAAAAAAAAAGTATTTCTTCATATTAATAAGAAACTAACAAGAATTCAGACACTGGAGAGGTTCCTACACTATGCATTTATATTTTTATTTCCCAGCCCCTAGAGACAATATTGCTTTAGTTTAACAGGACTGACATGTTCTACTAATGTCTACAGACAAGACTGAAATCAGCAAAATATCCAACCCAAGATCTGAGCTGTGTATACACACAACCATCTCCAGGTAGGGAAACAAATTCCCTTGGGCCTTTTCCTACCCAACAGGATATAATCCTTACAGAACTGCCCACAGTAGCTCCAGAAGAAGAGCTGCAGGGATGAGCTGTTCACTTTTGTGTCACAGCTCTGTGAAAGCTCCCCAAAATGGGGCAAGATGGGCTCCTTGGTGGCCTGCAAGGACCCTCCCCTGCTCACCTAGCGTTTCACAGCTTGTGTTGCGGGAGCACTGGCCGCTGTCGCGGTCCAGAGAGGAGAGCTGCTCGTCAGACTTGCTGAGTTTGCCGATGCTGCTGCACGGTGAGAGACGAGGGGATTCTCCCCCGTAGGAGTGGCTTCCACCTGACAACCGTCTCTGGGCATAGCAGTCAACATCAAAATCCTTAGGGAGGGAAAAAAAAATCGTTCTTCACAGCTTGCTGGCAAATTAGATACAGCGAAAGGGAACAACACCTCACAGCTGTGCTCAGACAGCAGGGAAGGGAGTATCAGCACTACCAGTTCTCTCCAGCTAGATAAGCCCATCTGCACCCCAGAAAACCTCTGATCTGGTGAAGGGCAGAAGGCAGAGACTGCTGAGAAGATGACTGAGTGCTGTACACACCCTAGGACTGCTTGTCATGACACTGATAGCAGTAGACTACCAGATTTCTCATTAAATAACTGTGGCTCTGCTGAATATTTGATGAGCTCACGTGTAAGCAAAGGGTAAATAAATTATAGTGAGATACAGCTAATGGCAGCTTTTGATGCCTAAGGCTATGTTTTTTATTTCAGAAATTACCTCGGGTTCATTTACACGTGGTTGAACATCTCTCATGTATTCTACTCCTGCAAAGCAATGTGTGAGCGTATGAGTTAGGGAAAAATTGTCCCAACTTTATTTGGATCAGCCAATTGACAGCAAGAGCCAAGGGTTCGGGAATGACGACAAGATTTGATTTTGCTGCAATGTCAATTAAGGTTCAAGTCCTCACCGCAGAGCGGAAAAGCTCCTATAGGCCAAAAAAGATGTAAATCCCATTGCAGAAGAGCTCGTCAACACTAAGTTGTTTGGGAAGATGGGAGGCGTGTTGGGAAGTGCACACCTGCAGGTCACAGCACTTCTACCTTCCTCAACGTGTTTCCCCTGCCCTTCACTGAGGGGTTTTGATGTTACCTGTCTGTTGATTCCCACAGGTAAACTGGACCCACTCGTGGCTCGACTCATGGGCGCCACCACCGCCACTCGCGTTGGGGAAGGCGCTGACTGCCGTTTTTTAGGGGGTAAGGCTGGAGGAGGGCTGCAAGACATAATAGACATTAACAATTCTCAGGCTCTAGAGAAAGAATTTTAAAGACATCATGAGAGGTTCTGCCAGGCTCGAAGCTCACGGCTTCCTGTCTGGAGCCCACCAGAAACCATTCAGGGTATTTACTAACAATTTAAAAGTACTGAAAACCCTTACAGGAAAGGTGCTGTTCAACAATTCTTTTTTTTTTTTTTACTAAAGCTGAGAAAAAGGTTGGTATTATTTGCCAAACAAAAATAATTGCTGTTTTAAAAATTGTTTTAATGAAGCTAATTATCACAACAGCTATTTTTAAATAAAAGTGGTGAAAGCTCAAATTAAGTGTTTTGGTTGACCCCCAGATTGTTCCAGTTCATAGAGGTGCCTCCCTCCAAACCTCACACATTTGACAAGTGTTCAAAGCTTCAAAAAACTTTACAGGACAGAAAAAAGCTCTTTCTGCCTTTTTCCATTCCTGGTGAATTTGAGAGGGACACGATGGTCAGGGTGGCTCTCATTTTGCCCGGTGACTGGGTGGGCCTATGCTTTGGCACAACCCCCTTTCAGATATGCACGTATCATACCCACATTATCACTACCTAATGAGATTTTACCACTGAATATTACTTTATGTTCCTAATGACACATAATCCCGGCATTCATCGAGCTTGCAAGGCTCCCAGGAGCACACATATTCTGTTCCTGGAACATACCAAGAAGTTTTCATCTAACCCATGAGAATTCAAAAAAATAAATACACAGAAATGTGATTCCTTTTGCCAACCACAGCCCTCAGTGCCACATTTCCAAATTATCACATGACTCACATTTTCACACCACCCCTTGCTAGAGAAGAAAAAAATAGCATCCACACAGACCAGCAAGCTGTAGGCAGGGGGTTTTCTCTTCCTTCTCAAAATAGAACATAGAAACTTTCATGTGGTTACTAGTATAGCAGGGTAAGAACAACCAAATAAAAAGACTTTTTTTTTTTTGCATGCATTGTTAACTCCTTTCACTCTTAACTGATAACCAAAGCAGAACTAGCTGGACATGCAGGATGGATAGAGAATCACCAGCTGACACGAACAGAACTTTTCCCACTGGATACAACAAGTGATGCAACCAAAATAGCACAGGATAGTGTTGAATAAGGTTTCACATAGCTTTAAATAAGGCTCTTGGGTGTTTTTGTGATGCTTCTCGTTCAAGATTTTCAGAGCACCACACTATCTTTGCATAAAAAAAAAAGAAAGGAAAAAAACCAGACAAAGTTGCTCCAAATAAGGAAGAAAGCAGGTTAAGCTGCATGCAAACAGATTTCTAGGGGAGAACAACTCAGAAAGACAGGAAGCTCAGAGCCACCACCACTTCATATATGGAACTCTCCTGTGTACCTTTTGGCACTCTGTATAAAATATGAAGTATTTTTCAAGTAAATATCACTGGTATTTTTCAGCCTGGTGCTTTTTTATTTTTTATTTATTTTCTCTTTTATTCTGTATTTCTGATTCATTCTTTATTACCTGTTTTCTGCCACACGAATGCAGGGCAAGGGGGGCTTAGGAGGTGCAACCTCTTCATCCATGGAGTCAGTCAGTAACTCATTGGACTGAGTCATATTAGTTGTCTTGTTGAGGATCTCCATCTCTCGTTCAGTGAGGGGAAGTTCTGACGGGCTGCAAAGAGCAAAATACAGAAGGCAGATCACAAAACCAGTTTGAACACAGCATGCTGACAGTTTATAATAATTCTAATTCATATACAGTGTGAGAGAAAGCTACAGCAGAAGGCGGATTTCACATCTGCAAGGACAACTTCATGTCTCTCCACAATACAATGTGCAAGTGTCATGGCCAAGTGACTTTTCATTGCCAGATTTTGGCCTCTTTCCTATCATAGCACATTGTTCTCTTTAAGTGGTCTCACTGTAACCCATTAGGCCAAGAAGTACTACGATTGGATGCTTGAATTCAACCATCAGCAGTCAGAAATTATCTCCATGAAGCTATTGCATTAGGCGTGCACGCACCAGAACGATTCGTCAGCAACCCACCTGTCGGATTTACACGCTGGTAAGCTGGGTTTAACTGGGCTTGTGGGAGAGGGATGCTCCTGCTTCTCAATCGTGAGTCTGACCAGTTCCTAGTGGAGGGAGAGAAGGAAAAGCAAAGATTCAGTGTTTGTAAAAGCTGGATGCTCATGTCCCCAAACAGAGCGAGGCTGCAAAAACCTAAAAACCTCCCAGTTACTCAGGTTAGGGATTATTGATGGCAGGGACACCGGGAGAGCTGAGCTGGGCACAAGTTAGGTAAAGAGCCATGCAAATGATGCTGTTCCTAGTTGGGCCCAGCAGTAGTGTGGTCATAGCTGAGTTAAATTCATCCACACTGGCCCTGTGGGGATTCTGCAAAAGCCACACACGTGGCTTTTTCGCTACTCTCCCACCATCACAGATGTGTTCCAGTCCCTGCAATACCCCAGCTACAGACAAATTGCCTCTGCACACATAAATGTAAGTACAGAAACACCCTGCACAATGAATGACTTCATCGAGCCAGCGAAAGTGTTGAATAATTGCTTGGTATTTTATCAACAAACAATTATGTCACGTTCCTTTTTTGTCAAAAAGCAGGTTGACTCTAACATCCCTACTGAGGAATGAGATGGCCAACGCTTTTATTAAAACGCCTGCTTCCCTCGGGGCCATTTCTTAAACATGTTAGCGATGGAAGCCTTAATCATTCAGGGAACTACCGTAGTGTATCTGCTACAGGCAGATAAGACAGTGGATGAGGAGATAAGGGCATGATAATCCCGCACTACAAGTCTGCCAGCAGTCAAAACAACAAACACTCGTATTAGAAGGAAGCAGGGAATATTTTAGGGGTGTCTGAGGCTGACAAAGAGATCCTCTGCTCCCAGCTATCAACACAGATCCTCTCACAGCCGGGCTGGATACCTGGCAGGGCTTCCTGATGGTATCAGCTTCCCTGGGCCTTCTGCAATGGAAGCTCCATGGGATCTTTATTATATTTTTTAAGTAGCCTGAAGTAGAGTGTCACCGGGCCAGTGACATCTTCACATCCCAGTCTATCCACTGGCATTGCCCCTCCAAATACAAGAGCTGTAACTGGAGCTGTCATCAGCCTTCGGAGGCAGGGAAATATTCTCAGGTGTTTATAGATGGAGTCGAGCAAGAACACAACAGAACACGCAGCTTGAAAGAAGTAGTCCTGGAAAATCCCTCATGTGGGACAGGAGGGGAGCACACGAAGAGCCCACACGTCCATTTGGGCTAATGCCATAAAGAGGTTCCTGCGTGGGACAGAACAAGAACCCTCACGAGGAACAGGGCTCTGCGAGAAGCGCCCCGATGGGGAAGCCCAGTGTAGAATCAACCACAACTGACCTCTCCTTTCAACTCCCACCTTCAGACAGAGCTGGCCAAGGTTCTCCATGGGGAAATAACACAAGAGAGGCAAGAGACCTATTCAGGGCTTATAGCTATCTATAGATGTCCCTGGGCACGCAGAGAAGTGAAACTCCAAAGGCCCTTCTATCCTGGAAGAACCAGAGGTTCTTCCTCTGGAGGTGCCAACACTGAATTAACCTCAGCTTTCTCTGCTCAATCTCCCCAGCTCAGCAGAGGTTTCAAGAGAAGCTAATTTTAAAAAGCGCTTTCCTCCACGCTCTGAAAGGCCGCTGGCTTTCCTTCGGAGGCTAAAGAGAGTATAATTTGGGGAAATCTCATACATGTGCTATTAAACTGCAAAACAAAGGAACAGCTTTCAAAAGGAAGAAAAACTGGGAGCATCTTTGTTAAAAATACCATCTGTATGCGAAGTGTTCACACACACACAAGTGGATGCTGCAACTGGGTCCATAGGATGCATCATCTGCTTTCAAAAACTTGCTGTTCCACTCAAGCTTTGAAATCCCCCTACGAAGCCTACAGAACTTCACTAGGAAAATCAACTACAGCATTTGGGGAGTCTACAATGCCCAAACAAGGCTTTTTCTGTAAATTCTATTATTTAGGAATCAAAGTGATACCGTTTCCCTCTTGCAGCTGCTGGCACCTTCTGCTCCAAGTCACTGTCAGGAGCGCGAGGTGACAGGGCGGATTTGCCACCTCGCTGCCTGCTGGATAAAACCCTGGAACTGAAGAGGCTGCTGGGGAGACTCCTGAACACTTCAACAGAGTTTGCATTGCACCTACAGGCCTATCCACTACTCCCTGAGCAATGCTTAAAAGTGGAGCAGGTGAAATAAAACACAAACCAAACACCCAAATGCTCCTTAGATGCCTCCCTTCTACTGGAAAGGGCTCCGGAAGGGAAAGGGCAAGTTCTGACAATGTCACCAGATTCCTCTGTTTGCTGCTTTCTCCTCTCTGCAACAAGCCCGAAAGGAGAAATGGGGTTTGAAAAATCAAACTGAGATCTTCAGTGTGGGCACAGAGGTAATCAGTGCACAACTGCGCCAGCTGCACATTATGCTGTTCCTTATCAGCAAGCAAAGAGATTCCTGCAGCAGTAATTACAGATAATTGAAGCTCCTCTTTAAACTTACGCTGCTTCAGCAAATTGGAAATTCCAAAAAGAAATGGAAGTTACATAAGCAAAACGAGGATTGTTTTCTTTTATTTTTCCCCTGCTATACAGAGCAAGGCTCTAAAACCTGAGCTCAAAACAGCGAATTCTACAGATGAACAAGTGCCTCCTTTCTGCTCAACTCCAAAACCCAAGAAGGAAGCGAGCGCTGAAATGTGGAAGTGGATCTTGTGTGATCTGCCAGGAAGAGAGACCGGCTCCACGCAGCAGAGAAGTGTCTGATTTCTCAGTTCTGCTTCCAGATGTGACCACTGGCTCGGCCCTCCTAAAATAAAACTTGTCCCTTGCCCCGCGGCAGGAGAGGAGCCTGCGCCACGTCCAAATGCTGCCGGGCACGACCTGGCTGCACGGCTGCTCTACCCGTGCTCGAGCTGAGCAGACAGAAGCCAGATCCATCTGCAGGTCCAAAATAACCATTAGTGCAATGGTCAAAGGGGGCTGGAACCGGGTGCTTAAACATTGCTTGAAGTCCCAGGGATGCGAGTGACCAAATCTCTGCGATGAGACCGCAGCAGCTCTCCCCTTGAGCTGGTAATAGGGCAGTTTGTCACCGCACTGGATAGAGCCATTAAGTGATATCTGAGTTAACTGGCTATTTACTGGGGTGTTACAGTGCAGATACCACAGGGGAGATTTGCTGGTCCTGCAAATTGCTGCTGAAGTCCAACGCTAACAGCGGCCGAGACTTGACACTGAACTCTTCTTCTCCACCCTGCTGTGCAAATTTAATACCAGCTTTATGTTTCCCATCTGGAGTTTGAATTTAAAGGGCATACTGTGCAAAATAACCCTGGATAATCTGTCACCTTTAGCTGACGGGAAAGTTTTGTTTCAAATATACTTGTTTAAAGGGCTTGAAAAATAATACTAGGATTTAGTACCTATGCTTGAGTAGAATTAAAGAGAGAAGTTCCGAGCAGGAAAACTCCACACCAAGAATCCTGAAAACATGGGGAGATCCATTTCTGCTTAGCAGGCAGTGCAGGCAATAAAAACTAAGCCAGGTTTGGGGACAGTGAAAGATATCTGCCCGTGATACACTAACCCAGTTGAGCCACCTGCTGCTGTTCTTAAAAAAAATCTACCCCAACTTTACTTCTGTACTCGATCTAAACATTCCTCTTTCGATTCAGTCCTGCTGCTTAAAGAGGCTTAAATTTCTCTAAAGTTTTCAAAATAAGATTCCCGGGAGATGTGGTGGCCTCTTTGCTGGTGCCTTGAGCCCAGGTTGGACAAGCTTTTAATTGCAGTGTTAGGACAGCAGAATGAACAGCCCCAGAGCTTTCAGCAGAGGGGAACGGCTTGCAAAGCAGTGAGAAATATTGGTATCAAAAACTAATTGGGAAGCGGAAGGAAAGTCAATAGCTTTTTTCCAGGTAAGGCTGGGAGGAACCAGCCCAGGGATATGAAAGTTTCAGCTAAGCCTTTACACAGTTACATAAAATAAATCTCAAGAAAACCGAGTTTAGATCAACACCTGTCCCATCCCCTCATCTGATGGCTGGAAGTGGGCAAGTTTTCCTGGTGAATAACTTGGAATTTATGTTAAGAGAGCGACTGGAATCTATGATTCTCTGTGGGCATTGACAGGAATCATTTCCATTAGATTTTGTCTAGACAGAAAATATGCAAACTCTGACCTGCAATTTGCATGCAGAGTGGGAAAAGGTCTGCTGAAAATTTAATCGGGTGCTCAATAAAGATTTATGGCTTCCAGCAATCCCTCTGAAAGACAGGGCGAGTGTTTCACAAGCGCACATTATTAGACAAACCATTTGTGCTAGCCTTTAACCAGTGCACCGAGCAGGATCACTACACTTAGAGAGCAGCTGACTGAAGAGATCAGTTATCAAAGTCAAGAACGTATTTCACCTGCTCTTAAAATATATTTTACCTCCGCATTTCACCTGCTCTTAAAAACCTCTGACTTCCAACCAAATTTCTTCTAAACATGCATATTATATACCTTAATATAATGTAGAACATTTATCTTATGTACCTTGACTCCATCCAGAACAGCTTTTATGACCCCCTTAACTGTGGTCACCATCTCCTTGTCCTCCGAATTCACGCCCTCCAGCATCACTTGGTCGGACCAGCGAATGAGGTTGGCCAAGCTCTGGTAGACACGGCTATAGCAGGACGAGATGGCAGAACTGCATGGCAAAAGGAAAAAAGGGTTAAGAACCTCCCCTGCAAAACTGCAGAGATATCCAAAATTACCAGGGAGTGTATGATTTAAAGTGCACTTTGGATGGTTAAAAACCATTAAGGATTTCACTGTATCCACTGCTGTTCTTCTCCTTTTGATAACTCGGACATTTAGCATTTAAGCAGGTAAGAAAATACAGGTGTCTCTTCCATTGCCACCAGCACCAAAAGGAACCTCTTTATGAGAGTAGGTACCAGCAACGATTCATTCTCAGGTACCTGAAAATGAATTATCTGAGCTTCTTGTTGACAAAGCAATGCTAAAATGAACACTCTCCTTTTCATTTACAGCCCCATCCCGTATCTTAACTTCAAGGGTAAATATAACATGCTGCATGTAAATATAATTTACATTACTTCAGTATTATCTGTGTTTTTCCTATTTCCTTATTATCTCATCCCCAAAATGACTGAGAAGTGACTGTGTTCATTCCTTCACAAATCATTTCCTCACTGTTTATAGTCCCTGAAAGCATGTAATTAAAACCTGTTTCTTTCAAAAAAAAAAAAAAAAAAAAAAAGGAACTGAATGGATTTCAGGTTTGGAAGAGGAAGGGTGTTGCTTTGTTTTATTTTAATGAGAAACAGAATGGAGGCTATTGTTCTGGAGGGGTAAAAAAAGGAAATTTTGGAAGGATGACAACTCTAAATAAAAGTTAACTGTATCAACAGTGCTTACAGGCATTTTCCTGGCCATTCTGAAAACACTTACTTCATTACTAAACAAGGTGTGTTAACAGCACTGGTGATGGCAAGACTTCAAGAATTCTTTGTAAAGTCAAATCAAATCTCAAACTGCACCAAAACCATAAAAACAGATAACAGGAGGTGTAATCTTGCAGCCACTGCTGATATGGGTGTCATGAATCTTCCTATTTTTTTTTCTGGTATTTATTTTACACCGCTTAACTCCAATGCTTTCATTATCTGTGTGACGAGAATCAAGCCCACAAACTTCAAGGAGATTCTTTAGGTGAATGAGGCTCGAAGAACTGGGGAAACAGCTATTGTCAAGTTACAAAAAAAGGCATAAAACAAGAAAAAGCCCATATTTGTAAGCATAAAAAGCCCATGTTTGTAAGCGTGATGCTTGTCATTTGTTCTAATTTGAAATGAAATTAGCTTGGTAGGAGATATTTCCTAAATCGGGCCCTCCCCCATCTCCTTCTAAGGCTTTGATTTCTTTGTCATTAATCGTCAGGCCGCTTCCTTCCAAGGAGGCAGTAATTGAAAGCCCATTTTGTGCTTGATTTAATTACTTCTTTCCTTGATGCAAATGCTTCCCCTAAAGCGAAGAGCGGTGCAGCAACAACTGCTGGGCTCCCTTCCACATTGACACAAGTCCTGCTTGCTTTTCTTGGGAGGGATTTTCCCTCCAAACTGCCCCTGCACATCCTGCCACTACTGAAAAGAAATAAGACACATTAGTAGACATGGAAGGACCCGGCTTTTGAGAATGCCAAGCCTCACATTTTAGGTGTGAGGCTAAACAAGGCTGAAAATACACGTGGGGTAACACAAACTGATTCCAGAGAGGCAGCTTCATCACTCAGTGAAGAGCACTGCGCTGACAACCAGCTAGGAAAATTCTGCTTACAGGCTAAATATGGGTATCCAAGTGCTAAGGTTATGGTAGCTCATTCCTAAGAAGAGGTTTTAAGGAATCTGAAGGATAGGCCTTTGTGAAATACTGCCGCTTGGGAAGAGAGCTTAGCTGCTCCTTGTTTCCAAATATATTCTTGGAAGGAAAGATCACTGAGTAAACAGCCAGTGGATACACAAATCAAAGCAAGCGGCTACACGGAAGATGACACATTCTATCCCAAAAATGCTTGCTGACATTTTATTATATGTTCTCCTGATGTGAGCAAGGGGAAAGTTCATTCTTCCTTCCATTAAGTGAAAGCAGGTGCTTTAAAGGCTGTGGGAAGCGTGGGAGCAACTGAAGAGACTTCAGAGTCTGCATCCAGAAGCCTGATGAATGTTCCAGGTCCAGCAGTTCTTGCTCTTTGTAGTTCTCCAGCCTTAACAGTTCCCTCCTGGCACGGCCTCGGCGCTGATATCACCCGGCGTCTCCCTGCTCCTGCGTGGTCGGACACGAGCTGCCCTGTGCATCAGGGCCAAGCAGACCTAAGCATCTCCATTCACAAAATGTTTGGCACTCAATAGCTGTCTTTCCGTATCATAAACCCTTCTTGCACCTGAGTTGCAATAGACATTCTGTGTTTTCTTTCTTTTTTTTTAATATTTAATAGAAAAGAAAACAAACAGAACAGTACAGAACTGGCAGGATTTCAGGAAGCAAACACCTGCATTTCCCTGACTGTTTTTGTGCTTTTATTTTGCTCATTCCATATTACTTAGCAATGTTTTCTTGCTTTGTTTAAATTAATTGCTCCGAAATCTATGGGATCAACAGCATCTATATTCCTGTGGCTTGATGACTCCATAGATTGTTATCCATACTGAGCTAATGGCTTTGGCAAACGTCTAGATCTTTTCTGGCTTTAAACTCACATCTAACCAGTTAAGACATAATACACTAGGTATCAGAACCACCCTATAAATAATCTGCAGAGAAGGCAGAGAAGGAATGAACCTGGGGCGGTTAATCTACTGAAGTACATCTGTTTACCTCTGTTTCATATTCGGGCCACCGAAATCCAAAAAAGCAGTTCACAATGTAGGCTAAGTCTTCTCTAATATCAGGATGGATAAAGTGAACACAGAAAGGGATTACCTTGCAGATAAGCTCTTCTTTAGGTAAAAGCTGCTGGACTTTGTTAGCTTTAGGATACCATCATAAACCGCAGAAATACTATTCCATCTGAGGAAAATCTCCTGCTAGTAAAAGATGAATTTCCAGGCTGGAATCAATCCTTCCTTCTCTCTGAAACCATTCTGCTCTGCTTTATCTTTCCTTAGCACCGGCTGCTTTGCAGCAGGCAATTTGCTTTTAAATCATGTTTGAAAACCATCCCGTAATTGGTAAGAGCAGCAGTCATTTTATTAGCAACTGCAGCATTTCCTGCCTCCTGTGTGATCTGAATTTCAGATACAAGAAAGAAAGAAAAGCTGGGGAGGCCACTGGTGTGTCACGGCCCCGGGCAGGGGCACTCACCTTTGCTGCATGCGCGGATCCGCCTGCACCAGGGGCAGAATCGCCTCCAGCACTTTGCTGGCTGAGCCTGGCAGCATCTCCAGCACTTTCTTATCAACTGCCATTTTGTCCACAATGGTCTTGAAGTAGCGCAGTGCACTTACGACCTCCTTCTCCTTCTCCTCCAGCCATGACACATTCTGAAGATGGGGAAAAAAGGAGAGAAATAAGCAAAACCTCAGGACTTGTTTTTTTTTAAGGGTGAAGTTATTTTAACTTACCTGAGGCATGGTGAAGCGAAATGGGATATTTGAAGAATGGGAAGAAACCTTTCTACCACAAACACTGTCATATTTAATTATTATTCATTCAAGGGAATATTCAGCGCAAAACTGCACCCACATTGAACTTTCTGAATTACAAAATTGCACTCCAAACTTATACACTACTGATGACTGAAAGGGCTACCTATTTCATTTTGTGAGGCTGCTGGACCAAGGGAATTCACACACTGTCTATGGGGACACACCATGAACATTAAATTTTGGCATGAGGGAATGAATGTTGAAGAAGGCAACAGCTCCTTGGACTGAAGCTGAGTTGTGGTCACCACCTTCCAGGCCATCACCAGCACTAGAAAAGGAAATTCAGAAGTGACACACGATACCTTCTCAGCAGGGGTATTTTAAAAAAAGTTTCACCAGAGTATGCCTGGAGGTCTTCTAATGCCACAAGCTCATCCTAAGTGAGATTTAAATTAACTCCTGGACACTGCTAGAAAAGGAGCAGAGAGCTTAGCAGAGTCGGGTTTCATCCATTATCTCTTCAGTAAATTCAGCTTCAAGAATTAATGACCTATGGGCATTGTGCACTCCCCACACTCCTGTCAGCTGTTAAACTGCTGCTTTTCTGCAAAATCAGGCCAACAGCTCGAAAGGTTTTGGGAAGAACAATTTATAGACAGCGCTGGTTAGTAATTTGGGGCCAGTTCATAAAAGGGTTAGAGTCCCAAGTCCCAACTAGCTCCCACCTGAGAAGCTTCAGTCCATAACTGATATCCACAACCACCACTTGGACACGGCCCTTTTTTCAAAACCTGCATCTCAGCAATTTTGGGTAACAAGCCATTAAGTGTATTTTTTATGAAACCCTTTCCAGGGCCCCCAAGGTCTCGTATAAATGTATGTATACATACATCCCCATGCACGTACAGCCTACCCTACAGAGGGTTGTGCCTTCTGCTACAGAGCTCAGATATATAAATGTTAGTTTTGCTACAAGGCTGAAATTTCTGGTGCTCAGTGCTTTACTCATTGAGACCCAAGAATAACAGCAATAAACCTGGAGAAAGGAAAAATAATCTTGTGGGACAGACGGATATTAATACACTCCAATGCCTACATCTCAGAAGGCTCATGTTATTAAGCCACCAAAAATTTTAGTGTGTCCCTAAAGCCAAAGTAAACATGCCGTGGTTCCTCTCTGGGCTGGCAGAGAGGATCTGAACTATTCTCTCATTCCATTTCTTAATGGAGGTGAATTTGCCCCAGTAGTGAGTTTATCCCAGATATATAACTGCGGGACTTGCTAAAGCTGCAGCACCACTCGATCCAGCAACATCCCTTTGGGGCATTCAGTGAGATAGATTTATCACTCTGAGAAAGCAGCATCTCCTCTCCACTCCCTGGCCTGACTGACACGTTAACGTATTTTCGCATGACTTTGGAAGGTTTCCCTTAAATAATCATTTCAAATGCATCATATATGAGATGCAGATGACCCAAGAAGGATGACAATGAGCTGTGGAGAAAACAGCTGACTACAAAAGCTGGAACAGCCCATTTTTACTTATTATAACTTTGCATATAGTAATAAAGGGCATCACTGTTCCTACAATATGGCCTCAGATGAGAGTCAAAGACAAGGATCAGTAGAAAAACAGGAAACTCTGAAAAAGCTCCTCCTGTGTTGCCCACATCTAGGTATACGTGTGTACAGGCACATCTGTGTTTTGGGCATAACTTCTAGTTTATATTTAGTGGGTTTATATCAATTTTTGGTATTACTGTTTCAGCTCTAGACTGATCATCTACTTCACCTTATCAGTCATTCCTCCCACACCGTTTTCTAGAGGGGAAAAAAAAAAAGGAAAAAGTTTACCTTTTATTGGCTTGGTAATATGTATTTGCTATAGAGTAGCATTTTAAAAGCACTTTTCATTTTCTAATTTATTTGTGGTCGCGCATCAACCGAAAGGAAGGACCACTGCATTGTCTACAGGCATTTCAGTGAATTAATCAATAAAAACAACATTGTGAGAAGATCTTCCAGGATAATGGTGTGAGGGACTGTAGAAAGAACAGGAAAACGTTCTCCAAGATATGTATTTGAATCAATCACAACATATCAGCCTCACATACCCTGAGAATTGTAAGTTGTGTTTCTTACAGGTCTGTTTTGGGGGGACAGGAGTCTGGTGTATGTGCGGGGCAATGCAACATGTTCACCTCACCAGGAGGATATCCTTTCCTTCTTGGAAAAAACTCCAGCCTGGGAAATAAAAGCCTCAGAACAGTGCTTCTGAGCAGGGTTAGAAGCCCAACAATCGCCTCTCTGTACGTGGAGCACATCAGGCAGCATCAGATAACTCTATCTTCCCGACTGCTCTCAGTGACGCTACCATGATCCTCAGCAGAGATAATCTTTAAAATTTCTACGTGTGGCACTGCACATTGGATGAGGCTTCCGACAACAACTGGAAAAGTTTCTAAATTATCATAAACAACCCCAACTCTTCTTGGCTTTTGGCTTATACTTACCCTTGAAATTTGAGTGCAATGATACTGATAGGGAGGATGGTCTCCCATCTGCACGGGAGGAGATAACCCTTTGACGGGGTTGTGTTGGGCAAGTTTAGTGACCTCAGATCTTACGGGCTCAGAACAAGCACATTAGATGCAAGGAAGGGTGTGTGGACGCAGCAGCTGCTTGGAGACATCTCAGTGACTCTCCCTGCTGAGGTCACCAGAGATTGAGTACGTCTCTGGACCAGTGTCAAGGATTTACTAGGCTGCGTTTTGAGATTTTGCTGCTTTAAAAGCTCACACCCCAAAACCTGGCAGGTTTTTGGAAGTCGTAAGCATAACCATAGGGTGTGCACGTGGGGAGGATGTGTCAGGCCATAAGTTACATTCCAAAGTGGAATATTTAAATGCTTAGGGAAAGAGGTCTCACCAGGGTCTCAAAGGATACTACTTGCCTTGGTTACTCTTATTTATACTGCATAGTGCAATTTAAAACAAATCCTATGTATGTTTTTTTCCATAAAGCAATCCTGAAGATCCTTGATAAATCTCCAGGACTCATGTACAGAGAGCAGGGCTGCAGATTTTGATAAAGAGAGTGCCCAGCAAGCAAGGAAACAGCAAAAGCGATAAGAACACATCCTTTGCTTACTTTGTTTGCTGACTTCTCTGGTGTTTTCACTGTCAGGTCAACTTGCTTTCCTTTCTTCGAAGGCGTCCTCTTTATTTTTGGTGAATGAAACTTGCCCTTCAACTTCATAGTGAATGAGGAGAGATGGGAACGCTCAGAATCTAGAAAGACATGGAAACAAACGTGTTACAAGATGAAGGGAAATTTCTTGAAACCAGGAAAACTGTGCTGCAGTATTATATGGAAGACTAACCCACAAAAAGCATTGCAACCGTGTAAATTTGAGTGGAATGCGATAAAAATACAGTGGTTTCTCTGTTTCCAGTCACTGTATCACCATTATTTCCTGCTTCCCCTTGGAGGTGGCAGCTCTGAAGTGCAAAGGGAGGAACAGGGGGGTTGTTATCGCTCTGCTCCTTGGGCACGAAGGGAAAACCACCCCTCTTAAAAGGATTCATCATCAGCAGATCCCAAAGTGCTGCAAAACAGGGGTGATCATGCTCTCTCTTGCACAACGCGAAAACTGAGTCAAGGAGATGAAGTGATTTGTTCACAAACCTCTGGGCTCTCCGGGATCCTGCCCCGTGTCCCAGCTGAGGGCTGAGAGCCACTGCTGGGGTGCACAGGGTCCCGTGTGGTGGCAGAGGCGGTGGCACCGGCGGCTGCAGCACCTCGAGGGGCACCAGCTGTTGCCAAACCCTGAGTTTCACACATGCAACCGCTGCCTTGCAGGGGGAAGCTCATGAGCAGGACCCAAAGCAACACCCTGACTTCTCCCTTGAGACCCCACGTTGAAGATCCTGGCAGATCCAGCATCTGCTTCGGGAAAAGGCAACACAGTCCAACAACCGGCCCCGCTGACACGGGCGCTACCCGCGGGTGCCTCTGCCTCCGAATCATGGATATGGATATTCCTCCATGGATAACGTGAAGAAAAACAGGAGCCTTTGTGGTTTGCAGCCCATTTCAGATCGCACAGAGCAGGGCACAGCACCAGAATGGAAGGAAAACTTCAACACTCCTGAAAAAACTTAGTTACACAACTGCGGAACATAGTAGCCCGTTGTGAAAAATCACAATATTTCCAAGTTCTCTGAGTATCTAAAAACAGAAGTCTCAAAGGTCTGCAATCATGCCCCATGTAGACTTACTGCTGAGAGATATTTTTATCTGTTTAGCCACGAGGCTAAATAAAACCAAGCTGCCTTGTAGAGAGCAATTTAGAATGTATTTTAAGCAAACAGCACTTTAATAAATGAAGGTCTGGATTGCTCTCTAGTGACCCAGATAATTCGGCGGCAGACACTGAACTTGTCTTTAAGCGCATCATCAAGAAAAGCAAGAGCTTTTGCTCTCTATCTTTCCTTTTCTTCTCTTTGGAGTTATTGGGGAAACGACTGCATGGGCTGCAGCGAGTCGAGGCTGCTGCATGCAGCACTGCACCACCTCGTTAGCATGCAGCCTGCAAACAGAAAAGGCTGCTGAGTCAAACCTAGCAGCCAGCAGCGAAACACCACACGGCAGTGCTAAAAGCGCTCGTCATACCCAGAAATTACCTAACCACAACTCAAGGGAAGAAGCCTCCCCTTCGGGGCTATCTGCCTTCAAGCCTCGTTTCCTGGCACAGGGCTCAAACCCTATTAATACCCTCCCTGGAGCCAAAGCTCCAATTCGGTAGGTCCTCCAGATCCAATTTTTGCAGGTATCCTGTTAATGAAAATGGCACTGATTATCATCCAGCCCGGTTGCAAAAGGCTTCTCCATTTCACGGGATTCTCAAAGTTTTCTTTGTGTCGCCAAGCCCTGTTTAAGGCAAGGCAGGGAGGCCCGAGCAAGCTTTGGTTGCTGCAGATAAGCCCAGACGTATCAATTGGCCCCTGAGGAATCGCTCAGAGCAGCTGGCATCCTAACTTAGCAGCAATTTACGTCACAGCCCCAGGGATCTCCAAACCTCGGGAGGCTCCGCGGCTCCGCAGAGCCCAAGGTCAGCGCCAAACAGGGCTCCCGGCTGCGCTGAGGGCTGCCCTCCACCTCCACGCAACAGCTCTGTATTTATTCTGTACATTGCAGGGGAATTTCTATACATACAAATGTTTGACAGGAGAGTCGGGGCTAGGGATTTATTTTTAAAACAAATGGCAAACAATTACAGTAATTAATCTACAGGGGGATAATGGTAGCAACAACAAATCATGTCTGGCTCCTCCATGGGCAGCAGCGATTTCAATTGCTGGTCTGAATGCGACAACATTCAACCCCCAAAAAACTCCCCATTTTGGGGTGATTCACCCTGTACTGTGAGTGATTATTTTGCCTTGAAGGGACAAGATATTTGGAAAGGAGATAGATTTCCAAGAGTGCAATTTCCATTCCCCCTTCCCACCAGACACCTCTACCCGCTTTTATTGAGCAACCACATGAACAGTTGAATCAATGAGTGAGAAACCTCCACAGCAGTGGAGAAAGTTGCTGCTCTGCTGACGGCAGGTCCCCCTGGCCACCCCAGCCATGGCCTTGCCCTCCCTTCACCCTTCTGCCACCTCGGACACCGAATCCCCTGCTCGGCCACGCGCGGAGGGGACAGACGCGCGCGGAGGGAGGGCAGGAGCCGGTGGCTGGAGCAGAACGGGAACTTCTTTAAATAGCACTAATGAAGTAAAGCAGCTGACATTTGCACAAATAAGAAATGGTCTAACAGCCCTGCTAGGTCCTGCTTTGAAGATCACACATGAAGGCAGCTTTTTACTACCGTGTCTTTCCATCTACAACCAGCATTTTCCAGACCTCACCTGCTCGCCAGTTTCTGATGCGTTTGTAGCTAAACAAATGAGTCACCAACCAATATTCTCTTATGCGCAGTGACACTTCACACTTAAAATAGCACTTTATATGTTCCAAGCACATTGCAAACAGCTATCTCCTCCTTACCCAGTTGGGTCTTACCCCTGTTTTGCAGATGGGAAGCGTGCACAGAGGTGAAGCAGCCTGTTTAAACACAGCACCGCGTGAGTCAGTAGTTCCAGGACAGATGCTCCCCGTTGCCAACATAAAATGAAACTGTAGGACCTGGTCCCTCTCCTCGAGCTCATGAATCAAGCAGTGGAGCTCCCGTGGTTGCAGCCACTGAAGACCTACAGACACTGTTCTGCACTACAGGCTTTGCCTCATCCAAGCAAATGCACAACCCGAGCGTTACATAAAGAACCGACGTTCTAACGAATCCAGATGACGTGATACAAAACAAAGGTGACACTTAAGTAGGAACCTCCAAGGCAGAAGTGACCTAAGCTTAGGAAGACTAAAACTCCAGCCAAAGGTCTAGCTCTGTAAGACTTGAATTGGTTACGAACTCATTTTCTTCACATCGTATCCTACTGACATGTCTAATGCATCCTATGGCTGTCTAGCAACGCAGTTCAGAGCAGCACACCTTCAGAAATGAAATAATTTGACAGTGTACACAGAGAAACCAAAACCAGAGCGGTGACACTGCTCAAAACACTGTCCCTTGGCACGTTCCTGCCTTTCTGCAGGAATCAAAGCCTTTCACGCAGAGCCGAGGATGTCTCCAAGCTTGGTAGCTCACCCATTTGCAAGTGCTCTATCGCATTACTCTTGCCTCTTGCTGATGAATAACAGGCAGGGCTTAACCGAAATCCTGCCTTGACCTTCCAACCTTCCCTTTTTTTCCTTTCTGGTGCACAGGAGCAGGGTACCCAGTAGTTACTCTTAAGGAGCATCCAAATCTTTGCAAGACAAATGGGAAGACACAGGGTAATAAACTGGATGGAGCGATTTCAACTGGAAGAGGGGAGCGGAGAAAGATACTGCTGTATCAAAGAGTTTGTGTCTCAGAGGGGCTGCTGACTTTCCATCTCCTCATATTTCATCTGTCTGGATGCTTTGCTGCTGCACACATACTGGAAAAGAAGTAAAAAATTTCATAATTACTTTACTTGCATTTGGCTTTCTTGGTTTCTGAGTGGAAGGTTCAAGGCGCTTTGCTGAGCAAACGCTGAAGCTGATGGGGAAAGAAGGCAGTTTTTCACCTAGCGTGGATGAGGGGGCAAAAGGAAGGCTGATAAATCAGCTTATGTGCTTGTGTGTGAGGAAACTGGATGGTTTAGGAGAAAGCCAGCAAGTCGAAACCCCATTCTGTAACTTCACTGGAAGAGTAAAATGGTCCTTTTCTCCTTGGGCTCAAATAAACACCAGAAACAGAGGCCAAAGGCAGAGGCGCTGGTGAATTCCACCAAGCTAACGCAGCCGCATATTATTTACCCTAAGTCAAAGCGAAAGCTAAACATTTTACAGAGCTCAGTCACTACAGATTTTCCAGCTACCAGCTCCTCTTCACCAGGCCATCACCCACACGCTGTGAGTAATGCCCTGCCAGGAGATGTGACGAGGACATTCGGAGAACAGATGAGAGAAAATCCCCTTTTCTGCTTCTGCAGAACAAAAAAGAACTTTTTTGTGATGTTCTTGCTGCGACAGAGCCCTCCCAAAAGCAGGGATGTGCAGCTCCAGCCTTCAACCGGCCTTCTGTTTGGATCATACCGAAAAAGCACAAAATACACTTTCTTTCTCTTTAAACTTTTGATTAAGATAAACCTTTTCCATCCCTAGGCTGAAAATCTAAACCCTCCATCTTCTCTCACGCTGTATCTGTTCCCAGACAGAAACCCGGTTGCTTTACAGCAGATAAAACGTTAGAAAAAAGGTTAAAGTTCTTTTTTTTTTTTTCCCAGTTTGAACTGATTCTTGCGGCTCATTAGAAAGAATGAAGCGGATTCTAAAATCTTATCCCACAAATGCTTCTCTTTTTAAAGGCCATTTGGCTCTCTGCTGGATGCACATATTTAAAAGCTATCAGATTAAAAATAACAGAGGACATCTCTGCCCGTGCCATAATGAAGCTATTGTGCACATTTTTAATCAACTGCTCCTGCCATTTATGCCACGAGGCCTTTGAACACAGAGGTGACTTATGTAATGACTTACACAACAATGCCCATTAAAATGGCATTTGTCCCCTTGGGCGCAGCTCGATCATTTGCGGAAGACAAAAGGCAAGTCGCAAGGCTCCGCTCAAGCCTGGCTCACACAGACTTCAGGAGTTCTGCAGCAAAAGGGAAAAATAACGAGCTGCAGCTCCTCA